TCATTTCAATTTACATGCTTTATTTGAATATATCTTTAACACAAGTAACATAAAATGTATGTTAATTTGGCTGGTATGGCAGAGCTTCCATATTTCCTTATATGCTCAAGCATGCACGTCGTTTAGTCTCCCCCAAAGTAAATTGATTAAAAAAAATTAATACTCCTTCAGGGCATAGGATACTCAAAATCAAAGGTTGTACATATTTTATCATTGACAAAACTATAATTATCACGAAGTTTGCATAGAAAGCCATCTTCGTATATGAATTTTCTCTTAATTTTTACTTTCATATTTATACTGAAATTCATTGTAGGAACATGATACAAAAATGTTATCACTAAAACACCCTTTTAAATTTTCTGTTTATGTACACGTTATAATGTATTTCATTAACTTATGATTGATTTATCTTCTTTAAAAAATTTTCAAATACTCTATTAATGTAGTACCGAGAAATTTCAGTCGCCCAGTATGCCTCACTAGAATAAGAACAAAAATATATCTATTCTCCAACTTCTTCTGTGAATAAAATGGCTTTGCATCGTCAAAATTCCGGAGCTTTCAGGGACTTTAGTCCTCTGCGCCATCATCTGGGCTTTGCCCTGAATCTATCAAGGGTATTGAGGCGGCTTGAGACACCCTGTCCGTTTAGAGAATGCATTTTAGCATTTTCTAGCTAAACCACATGTTTCTTGTTAGATAGCGTATTTTCAAATCATTGAAAGTCTCCCCCACCGGTCAATCTGAGCAGTAGGGTGTTAAAACACACTTTCCCAAGCGGTCAGGGAGTCTTCGCATCTTCTTAACTATACATTAGGGTATATGACTATATGTAATCTTTTAAGAATTTTCTCTTGAAAATGGTTAAAAATGGAATGGCGAAGTATTTTTATCATTATTCATTTTTTATCATGTTTTTGCATTGTATATATAGATATTGTACCTCTGAACAGTTTATATGAAATATATATATATATATATATATATATATATATATATATATATATATATATATATATATATATATATATATATATATATATATATATATATGTTATAAATGTATCCCATGTACTATTATTTTGGGTTGGGTGAATAAACTGAACTTGCACTTGAACTTGGGCGATTATCATTGGGTATTAATGAGAATGAATTATCATTAATACAATTAATTCCACTAACTTTTTGGTTACCCAGATCACGGAATATTTACTGTTTTGAAACTATGATGAATTGACGTTCGACTTTGTTTTTTTACTAACTGACCACACGATTCTTCACACAGGGATTTTTTGGGAAAAATTTAAAGAAAACTCGATGCTGAAAGAATATATATTTCAAACATGCCACTACTCTAAATTTTGAAAGAACTTATAAATCGCAAGTTATCTAGCTTAATGCCGAGCAGCTAATATTGACTGCTGATAATAGCAGTATTGCTTCGGATGCTGCTTTTTCCTTCATTATCAGCAAAAGTGACCATTTAGGTGCTTAGGGAGTAGCTTTTTTCGTAACTTTAACAAGCATTTTGAGAGTATTGCATATGCAATGCTAGCACCCTACCGGCAAATGTTATCTGGTTCTCCTAAAAAATTGAAATGCCCGTAATTCCGTCAAAACTCTTGAAAGCGGAAATTCAAACTTGATCTGTAACTTAGTAAAGGTAGACTCACATACCAAACATCAGTTCAATATTTGCAAGCTGTAGAAAAAGGGCGGAAAATTCAAGTGCCATGGGAAGGACTTACAGAGGGACAGACAGGCAGACAGTTGAGGAAAGAACCGTTTTTACCAGTAGGGGACTAGTTTTTAGCTTAACGAATCTTGCACAGATGTTACATGGAAAGAAAAGATACAAGACATGCTTAGGATACTGCTTGAAATACATTTTCTGAATGAGTGAGAGCATCAGATCAGTTATTCCTCTCATCAGCTGGATTTATACGCGCAACTATTCAATAAAGGAGAGCAATAATTGATTTGATGCGCTTATCAATTGAATCGAAGATAGGCCTATCAATACAGTGGCGGAAAATTTACTCGCAAAGAATCAACTTAGAGATTGTCTTAAAAAAGATTTTTTCCGTTCTTTCATTAAAAGAAAGTATCGTTCATTCCATTATTAGTAATAAAAAATGAATTGATGATGTCCTTGATTATTAAAAGATATCTTCAATTATCGACTCTGAGATTAATGTTAATTAGAGTTTATGTTAGACCGGCGCTGTACATGCTGTATACATGTATATGTCAACATGGGAACAGCTCTGATAACATACATTTTTGCCGTATATCCAATCTTTTCCTTTGATCTTGTGTACTGTCTTGTACATACATACACCATTTATACCAGTAAATAAAATAAAATAAACGGTGCAATTAAAAAATTAAACATGATCACAAGCTGTAGCGATTTTCCTGTGTGTTTATAACCTTGTAGTGAATTGACGGTTGAATTAGCTGTACTGATTTGCACGTGTGTGTTCAATAAGTGTAAAAATGTAGTGAGATTCATGTCGAATTTCAATATACTTAAAGTAAAAGATATAAAAAATTCCTATAGATACAGAGAAATCCTAAGGTTAACCTCGGTATATTCTGGTCTTACTTTCTCTTTTTCAAGCCTCTAAATCGGTGAAGCGAGATGAAGGTAAAATTTCAAATGTAGTCAGTTGGCTGGATTTACAAACAAGGGTGTGTGTGTGTGTGTGTTTTGGGGTGGGTGGGTGGGGGATTTTCAAACTTGTATCAAGAAATATAATGTAGATCATTCACATGAAGCAATAAGATGTGTTAATTTATGATTTCAATTTGTTGGGGAGGTAAATGTAAGTTAGGTGAGCTTTGTGACCCATAGGTCTCCTGATGTTATATGTAATCTACATTGTAGTCTCTGTTTCTTGGTGCATCAGAATATTGTAATCTTGTAGAGTATCTTACTGTACATTCTATAGCAAATCTGTGTTTTTCATTGCAACACTGGTGGAGCTTTCATTTTATTGTATTCAATGTAAGTGAAAGGGTCAACCTTTTCAATGTTGAAAGCAAAAAAGGTTGATCATCGTAAAAACAGTCTTCTCGGGCAAATTTTTTTGTAGGAAATTACCAGCTAATTCAAGATTTATTGACATGTTTTTATATATTCTATGGTGCTAATAAACCAGTGAATGAAAATATCTTCATTAATTTTGTACTCTCCATGAAGTCGTAATGAAAGGGAGTGTTCATTATCAATATATCCAATACTCTCCATGAAGAAGTCATTGATAAAAGGGAGTGTTCATTATCAATATATCCTGTACTCTCCATGAAGAGGTCGAAATGAAAGGGAGTGTTCATTATCAATATATCCAGTACTCTCCATGAAGAGGTTGAAATGAAAGGGAGTGTTCATTATCAATATATCCTGTACTCTCCATGAAGAGGTCAAAATGAAAGGGAGTGTTCATTATCAATATATCCAGTACTCTCCATGAAAAGGTCAAAATGAAAGGGAGTGTTCATTATCAATATATCCAGTACTATCCATGAAGAGGTCGAAATGAAAGGGGGTGTTCATTATCAATATATCCAGTACTCTCCATGAAGAGGTTGAAATGAAAGGGAGTGTTCATTATCAATATATCCAGTAATCAGGGGCAGGGGAGAGTGCATGACTTGACTGAACAAACTTGAATCTACACTAAGTGAAGATGCTTCAATATGATTACTGTAAATCACTTTTATTCGCAAGAACTTTATTTTCGCGTAATTGCGCGGGACAGTGTGCTCGCGAAAATTTCATTCTCACATATATTAGTATTCCTAAAGATTATATAGAGCAATAACAACAATTTATGAATATTCTGTCTCGCTAATAAAGAGTCAATGTTTATCTCTCGAAAATAAGGTGTCGCAAAAAATTAAGTGATCTACAGTAATCATGGCTTTAAAAGATTTTTACAGATTTTTTCCTATGTGTTCCTCTTTAAAAGTTTGATCTTCTATTGTGGCCCCGCCCTACCCTCCGGGGGCCATAATATTAACAAACTTAAATGTACACTAACTTAAAATGCTTCCTTATCCAAATTATGGCTTTGCTACTCTTGAGGAGAAGATTTTCACTACGTATTTCTATGTAAAACTTTGATCGCCTATTGTACCTCTGGGGGTCATGATTTGAAAAAAAAATTGAATTGAAACTTCCTGTGGGTGCTTCCATATAAACACATGTATAACTTATCACGGATTTATTATCTTGAGGAGATTTTTAAAGATTCTTCTCATATATTCCTATGTAAAACTTTAATTGCCCATCGTGGCCCACCCTACCCCCTGGCGGTCATTATTTTAACAAACTTGAATCTACACTACCTGAGGATGCTTCCAGTTTATAAATATGACTTATCATGGGTTTGCTGTTCATGAAAAGATTTTGAAAGATTTTCTCCTACATCTTTGGGTGTCTAACTTTGATCTCCTGTTGTGTCTCCACCCTCCCCCCGTGGGTCATGATTCAAAGAGACTTCAATCTACACTACCTGAGGATGCTTCTATATTTTATGACTTACCCTGGCTTTGCTGGTCATGAGAAGATTTTTAGAGATATTTCCTATATATTCCTGTGTATAATTTTGTCCTTCTCTTGTTGCCTCGCCCTACGCCTAGGGGACATGGTTTGAACAAACTTGAATTTACACTTTGTAATGAAGCTTTCACACAAGTTTAATTTTTTCTGGACCAGGGGTTCTTGAGAAGATTTTTAAAAGATGACTTAAAATTTACATCAATTCTTAATTTTCTCCAATTGAAAGAGACGTGGACCTTCATTTGTACAAAAACTTGAATTTTCTTTATCCAAGGATGCTTTGCCGCAAGTTTGGTTGATATTAGTCCGATGGTTCTCGAGAAGAAAATAGAATTATTTTAAGTTTACGACGACGACAACGACAGACAACGGACAAATGATCAGAAAAGTTCACTTGAGAATTTGGTTAAGGTAGGCTAAAAGGCTCTGAAAAATTTGGCTTGGATTTATTTGATAAAAATAACAAATGCATTGATCGGACAAATATATATTAGACAAACTCGCTCCAATGCGGTTCTGAACAATTTATCTTATCAATAAATTCACAAATTAGAAGCAACACACGTTGACTCTTGCTGAAGTTAAGGATCATCCATATGAGGTTTTGGAATGTTCAGTTTTGCATGCTGTTTTGTGACCCAACTTCCACGCGCTCTTCTGACACGCTACGGAGCAGTACCAAGCTTTCATACATTTACCACATCCGGGAAACTTCTTTCCCTCCGGTGCCTTTTTACCACATTTGGTGCATACATCGGGATCATCGCCTTCTACCTGACATCTAGGGCACCTGCACCAGAAGTTGAACGACTTGTAAAGCCACGCCCTACGGAGTTTGCGAGGCATGGCCGTGTCTATGTAAGTAGTGAATATCTCCTCCCCCTTCTGGATATCCCTCTTTGATCTGACGGTTACGCCCCCTTTTCCGTGAACTAGTCCGTCGGATACCTCGACATTATTGAGACAAGAATGGTTAAGGCATGCGTGTAATGGAAACATCCCACAAACGTTTGATGGGGTAGGTTTGTCTTTTAAGTATTTCAAGAGCCTGATGGTACGGTCTTCATCCTCTTCGGCTTTACCAAGCTCATCCAAGAATTTGTGGTACGGTGTCCAGGGCGATGAGAAGACCTGCAAGTTGCAAACAGCTTGAAAATAACGGCCTTTGAATTCAGAATCCGTAATGTCGTAGCTAACGCCATCTCCACAATCGGCGAAGATTTCTCTGAACAAATCTTTCATGACAGTCTGATCTTTTTCCACAGAGATATTGCCATAGGCTATGAATCTGAAACGAAAAATGTCATATTTTGTGAATGAATCTGTTTCTTTCATTCAAATTTTAGAGTTGCAACAATGTTATAACGCTTAAATAAAGGTTTAATGAAAAACTGTCTTACTTTCGATAAGGACCTTTTGCATACGCCCATTGTTCTTTGGTTGGAATGATGTCTCCACTTTCTCGAGCCATGGACTTTGCTGTTGTAGCAATTGTTGCCCATATCCTAGCAAGGATCAGTGGGCTGAAGTGCCCAACCCAGACCTCTACAAAGTTGCCAGCTTCATCTGCTTCTTTACCGAAGTTTTCCGATATTTTGTGGAGTCTGGCTGTAGCTTTCGATCTGGAAGGACATATGAGTTCGTGATATGTATTCCATGCCTGTGTTTTGCATTCGTTACTGCAATATTTTACCGTTTGGCAATTCTTGCAATAAATTGGTTTTGTGTTAGGCCAGTATTTTAAAACAAGTTCCCGAAGATCGCTGTCCATGGTAGAAAAAGTCTCCTTAAAATATTCTTGTGGTGAGAGCAGTGACTGGGCGCAGTGATCACATGACTGAATATTCGTTTTGTAATGGACAGTGTCGAACACCTTTCCAAGAACGATGGGTGCGTCAGAAAAGACGATTTCACCCGCTGGTATATCCTCTGTGGCGTATATAGCTCTCCCATATTCTGTAAAGTCCACTCTGATGGGGAAATCGCTTGTCAATGGGCCATACAGTCGTTTGACTCTACATTTCTGGAAAAGAATTTTTGGTTCGTTGTCTTTTCCTGATGTCGCTTGCGTTGCTTTTCTAAACCAGAATTCAGCAAGCACTAACAAATCGAACTTCATCAAAATTTTGCCTGAAATCATAAAGGGACATTTTCAGATATAGACTTTTTTTTAATATTTAGAGACGAGATTCAATTAAAGTGACGATTATTTTTTTATCTTTACCTCCTAGTTTCCACGTGTCTGGTGTTCGCTTTATTTTTGGAATAAGCCAAAGGTCTTCAAATGTTGCTGTCAGTTCCTCCAAATTGTTGCTTGCCTCAGCACGGAGTCTTCTCACAACATGGTTGTTAGGGTCCAACTCGAGGGCCACAGTGAAGCACTGCTGTGCCTCCTTCCACTTTCTCTGTAACATACAATTGTGGCCCGCCATCGCGGCACTTGCTACTTTCTGTTGAATGACGTCATCAAATGGTTTCTGATCGAATGATTCGGTTTTGATTTGAAACTTCTTCTCCAGAATTTCAACTTCCATCTGAAATAAGTCCACATCCCCGGGATACGGATCCTGTCCGCAGAAGTCCACAGCATTATAGCCCTTCTCCTCGTATGCGGCGGCCTTCGATTCCACATCTTTGATGATTATTTTCTGTAGCTCTTTCAGATCTTCAATGATCTCCTTGTGTTTAGGTACAATTTTCAGTCCCGCTGTGTAACAATAATAAGCTTCTTCGTATTTTTCTAATTTTGTTGCTGCTCTCCCACCTGTTATGAACGCTTTGATGTGATTGGTTGTGTCCAGTGACATCAGACATTTGACGTCATCTAGACACATTTGAAAATTTGAAAGATTAAAATGACACTGTGCTCTGATTGCGAGATACTCTGTATTTTGGTGATCTTTTCCGAGCAGGTTGTTGTACGAAGATATGGCATCCTCAAAGTTCCCGGACGTGTACTTCTGGAAAGCAATCCGAGCTTCGTCTGTTGTCTCCATGTTTTCTAAAACCATTAAAAACAAGTTATTTTGTTTGTTTTTTACTTCTTTTTGCTTTTTTTCTTTTGATTTTTTGTTTTGTTTTGTTTATTTGTTGGCTTTGTTTTGTTTGTTTATTTTTATTTGTTTGTTTATTTTATTTTATTTTGTTATTTTTGTTGCTCAGTTGTTTTTGGTTGGTTGATTTGAATTAGTAGTATGGTTTTCTGTCCAAGTCCCAAATACTAATAACCTTCGTTCTGGGATGGATTTAACTAAATAAAAACTCTACGGAAATTTTTTTAAGATACATATATAATTTTGTAAAACAGCCGTAAGCAGCAATTTTTATAAGTATTTTTTTAAAACTTGTTTCTTGATTTATTCAATTGATTGATTTTATTCTGCATTTCTTCAAAAGTACACTGATAATTAGCAATAACTTAATTATCAGATATATTATTAAACTGATAATTCTACAAGGACACTCCATCACCTACTGAGCTTGTTTACGTTATGTTCTATAGTAATGTTGACTCTAAGTGGTACTAATAATCCAAGAACAAAGCAGCAGTGTGCCAAATATATTGCGCGATGTCTTACACGTGTGTGAAAGAGTTTCTCTGTCAATTGCACATGCGAGCTGGATCGTAATTAATTGTGTCTAAAGCTGTTAATTTATAAAGCATTTATAAACATGAAAAATACTGCTGATTTTTTTAAAATGGGAAAACATATATACATATATACACTCTCATTGTATATAAAATAATGGTGCTCCGAAATATTCAATCCAGGCATAAATTTTATGATTAAAGTCTTTTTTCCTCTCTTTTTCTGGCTGCAATTAAATTAAAAAAAAACTGAATTATTTTCAGTTTTTGCTATTTCAGCTGCAAATATTAATATTTATGATCTGCACAAATTCCGACAGGAAAACATAATTTATAATGAATATAACATGAAGGTCGGAAAAGGTGAAAGCAAGTTTACACAGAGGACAAAAATATTTATAAATTCCAGAATTTTTTTTTCTAAAAACTTTTAGATTACCTGAGTGGTGTCCAATAGAGTGTCCTTGGAAAATGAATGGAATTCCTGGTCAGTGAATGTGCGCGTGTCCTGTGCCAGATGCACGTGTAAGAGTGTGAACTGACTGCCAGTAAATAGTGAATGTCTAATTTTGGAACAGAGAAACTCTCCATCTCGCGTACAATATTCCACGGCATGTGTTTAATTATTCTGCTGTCTGATCAATCGTGCCCCCTGCTGGTAGATAACATAAAAATTAGACGTCATCAAAATGTTTTTTGTAGTTCCACCCCCTGGTGTAATCTTTGAATCTATTGGAAAAAAGATGCTAAACTCGCGGTTTCTTCTCTTTTTTTTTATTAGAAAGAACTGTCATGAGACACAATAAACTGAAATGAAATTGTAAGTTATTTTTTATAATTTTCAAAATATATAGTATAGAAAGTTAATATAAAGTTCTCTGACGTATAAATTACTTTTAAACATATTTTAATCAAATAATTTTCAAGAAATAAATTTATCACTTTTCCCCCTCTCTTTTCTTGTTAAGATGCAGTTGCAAAATGTTAATAAATGTATGAAAAGTATATTATAAAAATTCTGCGCAAAAATAGTTCATCGATCTAATTAATGACAGACCGTATCTTGTCTGTGCCGTACTCCGATTATGGCATGTTACTCCGAGTCTGAAGCACGACGGGGGCTCGCGCTCGCCTATACCAGATGTTTCTACAGCTGACGAGAAGCTTCTGTCGGGCAATAAATAGTATCTGCAATCCAGACAGGGGTATTTCTCCAGGATCGTTCAATAACTTGACAGACTCAGGTATTTATAGACGATAATCTCCATTTTTTTTTTACTAAAGTTTGCGAGTTTACTCAATGATGTGAGTGTATGAGTTTGGGTGTTTTCAGAACTCACTAGGAATTTCTGATTCGTTTACTGTTCAGAGAATTCATCTTTCCTTAATCATGTTTACTGCTGAGAGCTGGTTCAGAGAGTGTTTGTGTTATCAGGATTCAGAATATTCAGATACAAATACATGTACAAATAGTTCACAAGAATTTGGGGGGGGGGGGTATCATTGTTATAATTGGGCCACGTTTTGAATTGTATATAATATAGTACATGTATATCCGTTTAGACCTCCTGCTGGGTTAAAAAGATCAGTCTCTACAAACTGCAAACTGTATACACCGTGTATAACTGCCAATCTATTTAACCATCTTTGAGTTCTCATCAATAGCTTATTCTGAATGTAGTGAGTATATAAGTGAACATGCAGAGGTGGATCTAGATTCTTTTACTTGAAACATGTGAAAGGAGAGGAAAGTTCATACACATGCTCATCGTCGGATACCCACGGGCGATCTCGTCTTTTACTCATCACCGTGGGTATCCGACGATGACACGTGCAAAATTTGCGTTCAAAGCTCTAATAAGCAGTCTGCAAATCTATTTTTCACAGAATAATTATAAGATCTGTTGAAATGACATGAAGTTTCCGTTATAAATGTATTTACCAAATTGGGTATACTCTTTTGTTCAAAACTCCTAAATAGTGTTTTCATGGGATGGATTTTATAAACTAGTTATACTAAACGGTAAATGGGAGACCGCATTGTTATAAGTGTATTCAACTTTAAGGATATATGCGACGTACCTTACCTGCTGATAATTTTCCAAGATATTTTTAATTTAAGATTATAGTGCGATCAGATATTCGTAGACAGAAAATCAGCATGCATTACCAGTGGTTTTGAAAAGATATCAATTGATGAAAATTCTTGTAAAATTCAATATATATATATATATATATATATATATATATATATATATATATATATATATATATATATATATATATATATATATATATATATAGAAAAATTACTAAACATATATTCTAGATGTTTTGTTTATCCAAACTTGTTTTAGAAGAAGTGTACAGCACCATATATAGACATTAAAATGTAGTAAACAGGTCATATAAGTATTGGAACTCTTCAACTCCAGGGAAAAAGACAATAAAGTTCAAACTATACGTTGCGTATGTCCTTAACAGAAAAGTGTATTTCATGACAAATGTTTCACAATAATGACAACAAATCTAAGGATTTGAAAGACATATATGTTCTCTTCACTATTTTACAGAATCTTGCAAACATGGCAGAAGATAATCTAGAGCAAAGTGCGAACGAGGACTTCGAAGCAGGAAAATATAACGCAGCGGCTGAAAAGTACTCGGCTTTAATCGCTGGAAATCCGGGGTGTTCCGAGTACTATCTGAAGAGGGGACAATGTTACCTTAACTGTAAAAAGTTTAAAGAGGCGTTCAAAGACGCACAACAGGCTCTGAGTGCAGGAGATAATAGCATAGAACTGACCTTGTTAGGAGGAAAAGCTGCCACCAAACAACAGTTGTTTCAGGACGCGTACAATTTTTACAAAATCGGAGTGGACATAGACAACACGAATCCAGATTTGTCGGAGGGACTGAGGGACCTCCAGCAGGCCATACTGGACGAATATGAGTTGGAGGGAGGAGATGATGAGGATAAAGGGTACTCTGCGGTGGACTTCTGCTCTCAAGACCCATACCCTGGGGATGACAAACTCCTACAGAAAGAACAAGAGATACTGGACGCCAAATACAACATCCATGACACCGTTCCGTGGAAAGACTACAAAGATGGTGGAGAATTTAAAAATCAAGCCTCAGAGTCCGCCATAGCGGCACACAGTTTGATGGTGGCCGGAAAAGTGGAGGAAGCCGTCCAAAAGTTCACATTCGCCATAGAAACGGAACCCAACAACGCCATACTGAGACGCCTGCGGTCCGAGGCTTACTATCTTATTGATGACAAGATCAATGCACTGCGAGACTTGTGGGTAATCCCGAAAAATCAAAGGAGAGTGGAAGTCTGGCGTCTAGGAGGTAAGATATGAACGATCTAAGCACTGCATGCCGGTATATATAAACTATACATTTTTGGTTCTTTAGACCTGTATTTATGATATACTGCTAAATATACTCACATTTCCTCATTTTAGTTGTGTTTATATTTTGTAGGTCAGATCTTACACGACCTCAATTTACCTATTCATGCTGAACTTTGGTTCAAGAATGCTACACGGCTTACAGATGGAAAAGACGAGGGTGTCAAAGTCCTGTTCCAGCGGACTCGTATCCAGAGGTTATACGCTCCAATCTGCAAAGGCTTACCCATCAATGTGGAGTTTTCAGATTTTGGTAAATGTGTTGTTGCTGCGAAACCCATTAAGGAAGGAGATGAGTTGTTCAAAGAAAAACCTTTGATAATGGGACAGATTATGGACAAAGACAATAATTTCACGCTCTCTTGTGACAACTGTGCTGCTTCAATTCTCACAGCAGAGGACTATTTTGGAAGTAACTTGAAAACTATGGATCAGGACTTGAAGGAGTTGATTGAGGAATGTTGGCCAAGAATTCCCTCTGTCACTTGCGATAAGTGCAAGAAGGTCAGGTACTGTAGCGACGAGTGCCGGCAGCAGGCATGGGTCACTCAACATGAACTCATCTGTCCTGCTAGAAACGAAGCCTCGAAAAAGCTTCATGAAATAGGACAAAATCTTGGTCATGGCGTCGCTCAGGATGGCGTTTGGAAAGATTTGTGGGATGCTCGATTCAGTCCATTGTTTTTGGCAAGAATCTGGTCCAGCATCATATCAGCAGCCAAACACATGATGAAAGAAAGCGGTGATACCAAGCCAACCGCAGAACAATGGGCAAAGGCGAGGAGTCCCTTTAGAAAGTAAGTTAATTATCACAAAGTGAAACAGGAAGTGATTCTAAATAAAGTATGTATAAGAGTATTTATCATTGAGAACTCTTCTGATTTGTAGATTCATGGCCTTTGGTCACTCCTCGGCAGCGGAGAGCATGCCCACAATCCTGAACCTAATGCGCGAAATCTTCAAAGACTGTGGCGACGGCGTTGAATACAAGATCACAGAAGGTGAATTCAATGGTCGATACTTTCAAGCCTCGTGCAATCTTCAAACATTTTCTTCTCCGATTACACCATACCACCAGTTCATGACGCAAGTGTCCAAACTGAACCCAGAAGACACCAGAGGGGTTAAAATACTAAAGTATCTAGATGTGGCGCCACGTCTCAATTCTTACTGTGGTCTGTTCCAATTACAGTCCTGTCTCAACCACTCCTGTACAAATAACGTAGAAGTAAGCGATGCTGAGATTGAAGGTTATGGCGGGGTCAAGGTCACCGCCAAGTCTGACGTCAAGGAAGGTGACGAGCTTTTCACCACATATATTGATACCAGCATGCCGAGAAAATTACGACGAGCTTGGCTCTTTCGGTCATTCAATTTTTGGTGCCACTGTCGGCGCTGTGAATTTGAAGGAGATGGACCAGAGACGTGCACCGAATGTAAAAAGAAGGCGGACAAGAACACGCCATTTCCCGCCTGCGGACAGTGTCACAGGGCGTGGTATTGCTCCATCCCCTGTCAGAAGTCGGCATGGCGGAGGGGACATAAAAAGATATGCAGAAAAACACATTCAAATTCAGCAGTAGTACCTAAAGAAGAATCAGCTGAATGACTTTGAGAAGCACAAAATTGATATATACCGGTACATTGTAAATGATCACGATACATTTCGACTTGAATGGAAATTATTTGGTCAAAATCTTCAAATAAATTGTACACACATTTTTTAAAGTATTTGATAGACAGTTGACAAGCAAGAAAAAAATGCCCATAACTGAAAAAACCTATGTTGTGGGGGTAGAGACCGGGGTTTATGAGCATGCAACACTTCCTTGAGTTTTTTTTTTTCCAATGCTTGATTGTCCTTACTCGTGACTCTACCGATTTAAAAGAGGTCGTTTTTTCCGGGGGTCAAATTATCTTGGTAGCTTAAGAAAGAACTTTTTTCGGACAGTTCTAGCTAAGTTAATATCAGATACTTTTCCCTACTATTAACTCGTGTGAACAAGATATGAATTTTTCTTGTCCTATTAGTTCATACTACGATTTTATTGCAGTTTGCGACATCAAACAATATCAAATGTGCATTGAAAAACGGCAAGTTTTATACGACACTCTCGTTCAAAACAAAATTTTTATGAGAAATCTTTCAAAATAATCTCTTTGATTCAGTTGTTTCTTGTTTTGTTTTGTGTTTTTTGATTAAGTAGAAGTTTCATATTGTAAAATTAGTAAAAATTTACGTTGACATAGTTGTACGCTTATATATAGCTGAACTATTATTAGATCAGGTCGACATGGAAGTAAAAAAAAAGGTGAAAATAACTGTCATGTTCTAAATTTTGAATTTATCGGGTGTGAGTAAATTAATACAAAATTTAGAACATGACAACATGTTCTAGAATTTGTATTTACTCCCACTCGGTAAATTCAAAATTTAGAACATGACATAACGAACTTGATCAATCCGAATCAGGTCGACATTGCGAGTGATCATGGACATCTGGAAACACGTGAGATTGGATCAGGTGCCCAAGCCCGTAGCGCGGGGGGGGGGGGACCTTTCTGAGTATAGAATTTTGCTATTATAGTAAATTTGTCTTTAGATGCCCCCCCCCCTTTACTGCTGTATGGTCGAGCACTGGTAAATTCCAGGATTTGGACGGTATTTATTTTTATTCTTTCGCTTGATTGTCAGATTATTCTGCCCCCCCCCCCCCCACACACACACACTTTTGAAACCGCTGTTACGGGCCTAGTGCTTAAGAGGAGTAAGCATACCATGTCGATTTGTCACACCTGTCCTGAGCCCTCACTCACTGTTGTACAGGTAGACGGAGTAATTCGTAATCAAAATGGTATAAAAAATAATGGCCCAACAAGTGGTACAAAATATGTCGATTAGTCAAAATACGATTTGTATTTGCGAACAAGGTCATGAGAACAAACGGAGAATTTGCGAAATGCTGTCTTTAAGGTAGTCCGATCCTCAGGTTCTGAAAATCAGCTTTTAAGGACATTGGCAAGGTTCCTGGTTATTGTATAGAATTTTTCAAGAACTTTTGAGTAGGTTTAAATGTACTAAATAGGCTATATTCTGGATCGTTTTACCTACCAATCCAGCATTCTTTTTAGATTTTGTCAAATTAGTGTTTTTACAATTCTTAATGCATTTCCTATGTAAAATGTTGATAAAAGGGACCTACATAATTTTTCACCATAATATTTCTTCAAAACACATTTATTTCATACAGTTTTTGTATTATATACATTATTGTAACTTCATTTCCTATGACTTCTAGATATATTGGTTGAAAATGTATATATAGAAACAAGACATGGATATACCGGCACCGATCATCATTTTTGAGTTGCGTCCCTTAACAGCTAAAATTGGTCAAGAGACTGGTTAATTGTTTTTATCATGTAATTGACTGAATTGATTGAAACACATTGTCATAAAAATATTGGCATGGATTTATTTTTAACTTTTATTCGTAATTATTAAATGCTGATTCCTTCACACGACCTAAGAACTGTTCTCAGTCGGCATGGTCGACCTACCTGTCAGCATATGTCACATCTTTGCCCTTCCCAGCATACTGAGCATAACTATGGTAAATGACGACCTGTTTGCTCTTTGTCCCTGAATACAATGTACAACAAAGCCATTACTACTTTTCTTTCTTGCTGTATAGATGATTCTACCCGTTGAAGGAAGTACACGTGCTTTTGTTTACCTCTATAGCATACGCTTTATTGGTTTTCACCGCTTAGAGAATTCTACACGGGAGATCACTCTCAATCACTATTTTACAAGTGAAAAAACCCATGTATTAAACTCTTTTTCTCCGGAAAGCCCTGACTTGCCAATGTCCTTAAGTAATTGGAAATGCTCACTAAAATGTCTCTGATTTCACATAGTAATGTGAATTTACCCATGGAATTTCTTCAAAGTTTATCATTATAGTTAATCATATTATATAGGGAAAATTATCAAATCTCAAGTATAATTTCAAGAAATGCGAATAAAAACACCAGCTATGTATTTTCTAATTGAAAATTGATCAACAAATATAATTTAGGATAGAAAAATATAGGTATCCAGGCATTTGGAGAAAATTGCATCTATTTTATCCTATACAGTATTTTCGTTCTTCCTTTTACTTCTATTGTCATATAATACATAGTGTAAAAAGCTTGTGCTATCATTGCTAGACATCACATATCACATCAAATTTCATATCATACTAATGAGCAGTGGTATCTTATGCTAGAATAAAGGAAATTCGATTTCTCTAAAAATGAATTCATTTTTCTCTTTTATGAAATGTCAACTTTTTACAAGACCGTTTCTAAGACTTCAAAGATCCTTGAATCATATAAAGATGCATAAAATGAAAATTGTTGCACGAAAAGATCTCAATTTCAAGCCTTATTTTGAGACTTTTTAAATAAAATAATAAATCTAAGATTTATCCTTTCTGGCTGAGGAACGGATATCCTTAAAACGAGATTGTAGAATTTCCTGTAACATCAACTTATTTGTAAGTAGCCTACCTTGAAAGAATTTATCGTACTCGGAACACGTTCTTGCGTAATGAATCAGTTATGAGATAGGACTCATTTCAATAACCTGATTCTTTTTGCCTTCATTCCAATCGGCGTTGAGCAGTACCGATGGCCATTGATCAAAAGATGATAAAATAGAAGGAAGGATAACTCAGAATCTAGAAACACTTCAAAGAAAATTAATGCATAATAAAACCATATGCATGCAGGTGATTGTGAAGACAATAACGGAAAATTAAGTTGAAGTCACGGCATATAGTTTAAACTGTAAGAATACCAGTTGTAGTCAATAAAACATCCAAATATGAAACAAATGTGATAGGCTCTGTTGTGTCTTTCATCGAAATCACTAGGATATATTATATACAAGAATAGATATGGGTTACCCCATATCCAAGATATTCGACTTTTAATTTATTCGAATTTTCATTGTGCTCAGATGATTTCTAATTAAAAAAAAAAACCCACTGATTTACTGATAAAACGTCAGAGATACTCAAGCTGTAGAAAGTCAACTATACAATGGCCATAAATAACCTAAAATGACATAATATTTAGGCTACTGAGTTTCAACATCTTTTGTTGAATAAAATATGCATGTACTAAGGAAACTGCATGTACATACATGTATATAACGTTACATGCGATTAGTGACTTTTATTATCACAACGTTGCAGATGCCTACAGAAATAGTTTTAATTTCACATAGAACATAGACTAAATATAATTAACCGTATAATTTTAAAAATGTATTTAACAGCTCACTCATTTTCAGGAATATTTAACCCAAATAGCATGTTACAGGTTCAAAGTGAAGGGGGGGGGGGGCTCCGAAAAAATCCCGCGTACTATGGGCCTGTGCTACATGTGTACCATCTAACTTTCCAATGATAGAATCTTCTGTAAAAATTCGAAACAAGTCCAAGCAAAGATCAAAGATAGCCCAATTTTTTAAATAGCAAAACTATAGATCTATCAAGGATAGATTTTAATTTATTTTTTAATTTTGTGCTATTAAAGTGCTATCACTCAAAGTATAGGCAGATGTTAAAGATGGGTCAACAAGAGTAATCAATGAACTTGTCTAGAGATGCATTGACGGCCGTTGTTAAACGCAAAGGAAAGCGCGAGATCGGTTGCGGTTGTGGAGCATCACTCCTTCGTCATAGAATAAAATCCGACATTTAACACTTTATATAGATTTTGAATGTAGAGACGTTTTGAAGATAAACTTCATTTTTGTTTCTAGAAATGTTTTTATTTACAAAAATAGTATATTTTCGTGTTTTTAAACTGAGTAGATCAATAACCTAGCATCGTTTTAGGTAACTCAGCCCCTCTAGCCCAGTCTAGGCAGGTCTAGGGCTTGAGTAAAAATCCTGCACTTGTTATGAAACTGGTGTGTAGTTCTTCTTCATGTCCGTAGCAAATACTGATACCCAGTCTACATGATCTAAGCGTCACTAGCGAACGGTGCACATACCTGTGCTTGCAAGACCAAATAGACTAGGTTTACACACGTGCGAAGATCCTTTCAGACGAGCTCGGCAAATCACGTTGCTTTGCCGAGAAGTTACGATTGCAGGTGTTTAACCACATAATAACCATTCCGTTATTTAAAAAAAGAGAAAAAAAACACACACACAGTTAATGATTAATATTCTCACTCAAAAGAAAATATACGGCAATTAACGAACAATAATCATGACAGTTATATAATTGGTGAAAAGATTTATCACTATCATTCGAAGGATGACCTATATATTTTCGTGAAAAAGACTGAGGAGGCAGCGAGCGTAGGAATATGAAAACTTTTTATTTCCTTTTCTGGGGAAAAGTGATTTTCTTAAAATCTTTTTACTTTAATTTTGTTTTCTTTAACGTATTAAATATACATCATTATTCTTAACATTTGTTGTAATGTTGTATCTACTGATCATGAATGGAACTATTTTCTTGGGAGCAATTGTATGAAGAGTACCTGACTTTAGTAATATATCTTGAATAGATAATATGCACTGATCGAATATATTAATAATTAAAGTTAACTTTGAGAATTTTATCACCGATATATCTAATTTAGAATTGAAGGACATAAGTTTTCTTCTTCTCGTGTGGAAGAGTTTGCATTAGAAGAAATCAGTCGAAGATTTTTTTTTAAATCTAACCTGCATATATAACTAATATAACTACAGGCCCGTATGAAGCATTTTCAGTTGGGGGTGGGGGGTGGGCAACCAAATAATTTCAGTTTGGGTGGGCACTAATAAGCAACAATTCCTTGACAAACAAAAAAAGAAGAAAAGGCTATCAGATGTAATTATTGAGGGGGTACATCGGTAAAAGTAGCTTTGTTTTCTATAACATACTGCAACGTATTTATCCGGAAAATATAATGTTGGTTGTCAAAATCTAGCTTTTAGCTTTCATAAATTCATCACGTGACTTCCGCGGCAAGCGGGAAAAATTGACAACAACAATGGCGCAAGCGAGAGTAACAGAGTTTTATGCGACCAAGAAAAGAACCGGAGATGCGCAGCCTTCTAAGCGAAGAAAGTTGCAAATTAATACAGACGTTTCAGAAGCTATTCAGAGCGAACCAAGGAACACAAGATCAACGCGATCGTCCACCAGAGGTAAAGGAATTTCTACACCGGTAATTGCTGAACCAGAAAATGTGTTGTTTACACTTTCTGTGCCTGATAAAAGCGCCAAGTCAAAATCTACCAAAAGTGTAACGCAGAGAACAAGGAAAATTAAGCAAATCAAGGGACAGCAATCAATAGCCGATGTTTTAAGGTCACGATCACCGTCACCAACTCCAAGTTCTGCTAGTGAAGAAATAACCTCAGCCTGGGATGAACACGACGGACCACTGACGCCATCAAAAAAATCTAAACAGAACAATGAAAACGAAACAAAAGGAAAGACCCAAACATCGAAAAAACGTACGAGACAAAGCAAGATAAAAGAGGATTTGAAGACACCCCCTAAAGAAGAAAAGGAGGAGACGGTCAGGGCACCAAGGTCCAGAAAGAAGCTGCAGCTACGTAGCAATGTTATTGCATCAAGTGAAAGCGAAAATTCTGAAAATGAGGTAAAATTGTAAATCAATTGTTTTGAGACAGTAATGAATAAATTAGATATTTCTTTGCTAAAGTTATACTCAAGTGCAGATTGGCAGATCTGAACCAGTTAAAGGTAAAATTGACTAAGATTAGGCCAAAAAAAATAATAGTCTTGTTTCCTGCTACCAGCCTGAAAAAAATAGGGTAGGTAGGTAGGAAAATTATTTTATTTTATATTTTTATTTTATTTTTTTCCGACAGCATTTTTTGGATATGAACTAATACAAGATAAAATTAAACATGTCACAGGTCAACATTGTCTTTTAAAATTGAATTTCATGTCTTTTATGCGCAACTCAAGTGGTATTTTATGAAAGTCCATATTTAAAACAAGAATTTCATGAAATGCTTGTTTTGTGTTAACACGGAAACCGATTACAGTGACAGAACGATGAAATTCTGGAAATTCCCGGGGTTTTTTTCTCCCAAAACTTGAAAAAAACTTTAGGGTCGGGTGCAAAAAAATAGGGTAGCAGGAAACAAGACTATTATTTTTTTTGGCCTTACATTTAATCACTGTAATGATTTTTATGTGCGTATTGCACATCAGAGTTTAATGGGAAACAAAAGCTTAATTTTACTTGCATTTCACAAACACAGGTTTCTGCATTGAGGACATGGCAAGATTGATTATGATGCAAGGACTTCTTAAATATATTTAATTTACTTTAAATAATTGGTGTGATGATTAAGCGAAGTATTATCCTGAATGAATTTTATGATTGCATCTAACTTAAGGTCTTATTAAGAATCGTGGCATAAAGGATTATTCAAGTGTCCACTCCAGGCAATCCTAGTTTTACACTTGTACACTGTGGGACACCTTTATGACTGCTTGCTTGTATACACAATGTGGCATGATTGAGTTTCATTATCATGGATATTGGATGAGAGATGAATGAGTAATGATCTATCACACATCACAGTTGAGTTTCAAATTGACATATATGTATTTCTGTTCATTACATAACAAATTAACATTAGATCATTTCATTTGGATACCATGTTAAGAGCATTTAAAAAAAAAAAAACTTCAAAAGATAGATAATTATAATTGTTAAATTCTACAATATTTGGAAATGTTGTTTCATTCATTGTACACTGTACAGATCAAATTATGAAATATTGGAAAATTTTGTTTCATTATACACGATACAGATCAAATTATGATATATTGAATCTGAAAGTGAACAATTGCAGTATCATCTTTCTCCTATCAATCATGCAGCTCTTTCTCTCTTGTGTGTATGTATATTGTATTACATGTATATGACTATATATAAATGTTAATTTACAATGTACTTTCTTTTTGCTCCATGAGGGCCCTTATTTGGTAAATAAACAAATTGAAATTGAAAAATCTTGGAAATAAACATAAAATTTCAAAAAGTTAGACTCAATCTTTTCTTTTAGGTGATAGAACCAGAAATGAAATCAGAAAAACAGAAATATCGAGAAGTTCTAGACCTGCCAACCACACCCCTTGCCATTTCCCCCCTCCCTGACACCCCTGAGGTAGTGAGACAGCAGATGGAGAAAGGTCCTAAGGTCCCCACTTCCAACAAGGTCCAGGCAGCAATGGAGAAACTGAAGGAGCTCAATAAAGAAGGCACCACAATGGAGGAGGTGAAAAAATATGTCTCTCGTTCGTACAATCTGAAAGCTCGAGTGAGCTTTTGTCTGGTGTCCATCTTTCTGTCCCTCTGTAAATTTTTCACATTTTCAACTTCCTCTCAAGAACCACCGCATCAATTTCAATTAAATTTACCACAAAGCATCCATGGGTGAAGGGGATTCAAGCTTCTTCAAATGAAGGGCCGCACCCTCTTTCAGGGGGAGATAATTGAGAGTGAAAATTTAGAGGCATTGTTGAAAAATCATCTCAATGACCACTGAGCCAGGAAACTTGAACCAAATTTGCATGGATGATGCATCAAGGGATGAAGGGATGAACACTCTCAAACTTGCTTCAGATGCTGGATTTGACTTGCATTTTCTAGTTGAGTGTCTTGTTTAAAATTTTTAGAACAAGTCAATTCCCTGGACCAAGTAACTGGAAACCCTATCAGACCAAAATTGCATAAATGTTGCATCTAGGGATGCACACTACTAGCTTAGTTTAGTGTGGGACTTTCTCTTACTTTAATATAACATTCCTTGAGATGAGCACTGTAATCTTTGATTTCCTATATTAGATAAATGGTTATAATGCCTTTAATCTCCCTGCTTTGTTTTGACATGATGTCAACAAATTAATTTTGTTTCAGAAATATTAGATTTGTGTGGGAGTGGGGTGGAGACAACATTAAATTTATGAAAACCCTAGGAAATAAAGAAGCCCTTTACAATTCAAAGGTGAATTTATTATGCCCCCCTTCGAAGAAGGGAGGGCACATTGCTTTGCTGGTGTCTGTCGGTCGGTTGGTCGGTCTGTCGGTCCACCAACAGTTTCCGTTCATTTTCTTCGCAGACGTTGCACATACTGAAATGAAATTTGGTATACAGATTAATCATAAGAATATCTAGGTCAAGTTCTGTTTTGGGTATGATCGAGCAATTTTTGACAGAGTTATGCCTCTTGGACTTAGAAAAATTCCAATTATTGGGGGGGGGGGGGGGCATAAGTGTTTCACAAACATCTCTTGTTCTAATTGTGATTTGATGTTTAGGTGTCTAAATCTGACATGACAGAAAAGCTGAAAAAATGTGGAAAATTAGAGGAACTGAAAGCCCAGCTTTTGCAGTTGAATGAGGCCAAAAAGGAAATGAAAAAGATAAAGGAATCAAAAGAAAAACCCAAAACAGGACCTATGGTCACTCAAGCAAAAGCCCCAGAACTCAGTAAATTTGAGGCCATAGAAGTAAAGGTGGAAACACAGGAGGAGTTGGAACCTGCAAGGTATGTTATCAGTGGAGGTTAATCAATTCTGTATTTATTTTTTATGTGATTATGGATGTGGGTAAAAATGTCTTTGTCTTAAAGTTAATTGGTTGAACAGTGTGCATTTATAGTCAATTTGTTTGACCATTCAGCTATAAGTATTAAAGTAATAGTCTTGTACAATTTTTTTGACTAATGATAATTATGTAAGCTGCTGTTTCAGTGATCAGAAGGCCCCTGCCTATGAGAGGTTCCACCATTTAGCCACCCCTGCCCCTCCCTCATTGTCCCTCCCCTACAAGTACAAGTTACTGGAGGACATGTTCAGGAGCATGGATACTGTGGTCAGCATGTTACATAATCGGTCAGAAATTTGCACCTTCTCCAAACTCAAGACAGCTGTTCAGGAAATGACCAAAAGGTATGTAGGTGACAAACAAAATTTATACAATAATTAAATTGTGTAGATGGATTTTTTTTTATATCATTTGCCCCCATTGATACAAGTTTGCATGATAGAACTGAATGTCTTCACTATCTTAATTGTAAATAAAATACATATTTTGAAGAGTTTTTTTTTCGTTTATTTGTATATTTTCATCAGTATGTTTGTAGAATGATGAAGTTATATTCTCAGCATAACTCTATTACTTCTCAGGAACTTTGAGCAGAGGAATGTCGGTCAGATTAAAACTGTCTATCCTGAAGCCTACACCTTCAGACAGGAGAAAGGACTACCTGCCTTTGGAGGAAAGTCACATGACTATCAGCTGACTGTGGAACCAAACTTTAATGATGGTACAGTTCTCTTGCAAATACCAAATAACTCAATAGTAAATCAATGGAGAAAGCAAATGCATATACGTAGCACATGGAAATTGCAACAATATATACTTAGCTACTTTCAGCTAAAACAAACAAAATACAGGTATCCTTGAGAGAAAAAAAGAGCAATATACATGTAGAATGATGAATTAGGATATAAAGCTACATACATACATACATGTAAGATTCAGGGATTTTGTGTTATGAATATTAACTGGTTGTTTTCTTTACAGAGTTAGAAAATAAATTAAAAACAAAGTCAGGCAGGCCCTGTTTTGCTGCTAAAGACATTCTTCAGAGGAAAACCACTTTTCACAACAAGCTGATCTCAATTGTCATGAAACATCATAAGGTAACATTTAAACCACCAGGGCTGCTTTGAAACTTGCACTGAGTTCATTCCAAGTACTTGGCAGAAGTAGAACAAAGAAAAGAGTTATGATAATTAATCTTATGATTTTGCTCTGCTTTTCATTTTAAAATATACATTTACATGTATATTAGAATACAGACCATTTCAAATAGAAAACCCTCATATACATTCATGCTTTTGAAGATTGAATATTTTTAAAAATGACTGCTCTATTGATATCTTGTTTTCCTTGCAGAGCTTTCTCTCCTCCTTATCTCGCCCCCTTTCTGTCCCTGGCGACAAAATCACGAGGTGGCACCCAAAGTTTTCCCTGGACGAGGTTCCAGATATACCTGTAGATAGCCTCCCTGAAGCACCATATGTAAAGAAATACCAGTCAGCTATAGATGTACTGGAGGATAACAAAGCCAAGCTTCCAGACAGGGTATAGATATAATGTGATATCTAAGATTGTCAACTTAGTCCAATCTGCCTAGGGTTTTCTTTTAAATTCTGAATATTGTCTGTTCCAATGGAATGCAGATTTCAGTTGCTAAAACTGAATTAAAATAAGGCCAAAAATAAAATAAGCTTTGTTTGTGGCATTGCCGGCCGACTCAAAGAAATCGGTGGGGTCCAAAGAATTTTCTCAACAGATACTGATCATAATTTTTAGCTCTACTGGTCAGAGACCAGAAGAGCTTATGCGATAGTAATGTGTCCGTCGTCCGTCCGTCTGTCTGTCTGTCTGTAAACAATTTTTCAAAATGCTACTCCTCCTACAGTTTTAGTCTGATTTCAATATTACTTGCCACACAAGTAGACTACACTAAGATACATAATTCTGTGTATCGGTTTTTGATTTCGATGAGCGGTGTTGCCATGGTTACTAAAAATAGAAATTTCTGTGAAAAACATTCAAAATGCTACTCCTCCTACAGTTTTGATCTGATTTCAATATAACTTGGCACACCAGTAGACTATACTAAGATGCATAATTCTGTGTATCGGTTTTTTATTTCGATGAGCGGTGTTGCCATGGTTACTAAAAATAGAAATTTCTGTGAAATACTTTCAAAATGCTACTCCTCCTACAGTTTTGGTCTGATTTCAATATTACTTGGCACACAAGTAGACTACACTAAGATACATAATTTGTATCGGTTTTTGATTTCGATGAACGGTGTTGCCATGGTTACTAAAAATAGAAATTTCTGTGAAAAACATTCAAAATGCTACTCCTCCTACAGTTTTGATCTGATTTCAATATAACTTGGCACACAAGTAGACTATACTAAGATGCATAATTCTGTGTTCGGTTTTTGATTTCGATGAACGATATTGCCATGGTTACTAAAACTAGAAATTTCTGTGAAATACTTTCAAAATGCTACTCCTCCTACAGTTTTGATCTGATTTCAATATAACTTGGCACGCAAGTAGACTATAATAAGATACATAATTCTGTTTATCGGTTTTTGATTTCAATGAACGATGTTGCCATGGTTACTAAAAATAGAAATTTCTGTGAAATACTTTCAAAATGCTACTCCTCTTACAGTTTTGGTCTGATTTCAATATAACTTGGCAAACAAGTAGACTACACTAAGATACATAATTCTGTATATCGGTTTTTGATTTCGATGAACATTGTTGCCATGGTTACTAAAAATAGAAATTTCCTTGAAATACCTTCAAAATGCTACCCCTACAGTTTTGGTCTGATTTTAGTATTACTTAGCATACAAGTAAACTACACTTAGATACATAATTCTCTGTACCAGTTTCAGATTTCGATGAATGGTGTTGCCATGGTTACTAAAAATAGAAATTTTTTGAAATTCTTTCAAAACGCTATTCCTCCTACACTTTTTGTCTGATTTCAGAATAATGTGGCATACAAGTAGACTACAGAGATACACAATTGGTGTTATTGTTTTTTGATTTTGTTGAATGATGTTGTCATGGTTACTTAAATCAAAATTTCAGTAAAATTGTTTTAAAAGGCTACTCCTCCTACAGTTTTAGTCTGATATAATAATAAATCTTGCCAAAAAGAGACTAAACCAAGGATCATTATTCTATTTATTGCTGTTGCAAAGTTTCAAGTCCAAGTGCTACTTTTATCTTCCTTTATAAATACAACCAGTAGAGCTACAGTCTCATCAGAGACTTCTGGTTATTTCGTTATATTCATCTGGATTTAGGTGTTTGTATGTTTGCGTAATATATACAGAATGGGAAAGAATCATGTAAACGCTTGTTTGATCAAACAGTTTTCATTTATAAGCGTCTATGTGATGTTGAATAAATGCGTATCACGAATCCAAGCATGGCTGTCGAAAGTGGTAAAATGTAAAGTTGGTATAACAGAAGTTGATGGCATGACTCTCTGTGGTAATGTTGTTTTAAATAGCAAATGTAAACTGATGAATCAGATATACCAGTTCAATATAGAAATGTCACGGTACAATGTCCTGTCCGATTTGCGAGATGAATCTAGCTGCCATGCTTCGATTCGTTCACATGATAACGACTCTACACTTATTTAATGTTGGTGATTTTTAATACCATATATATTAAAGGTTTAAAACTAATAGGGTTTAAAAATCAATGATAAAACTGGGAATCAGTTTGGACTGTGGTTGTTGTTAAACTATCTGAAACTCAAGACATTCAGATACTAACAACATGTACCATTTCTGAAATTTAAAAAAAAAAAATTTCCCTACCTACCGATCCAAACATATAAAGACTAAGTCGGCAACGCCAAACAAACAATATTTTAATTGTGGCCTAATATATTTTAGAAATCGAATTTGTTTTTTTTTCTTAATGGCAATTTATCTGAAACCTGTGCAGTTGATGTTAAATATACATGTAGAATTAACTTTTAGTGAGCCTTATTTAAGAGCTAATGCATTTTCAATGAATGTACATGTTCCTTGGATATTAATTTGAATATTCTTTTACTTTATTTGCTTTACTTGTGAATGTGATAGAATGAAAGATATCGGAATTATTAAAAAAAATACAGACCTGAATAAACAGGTATGAGGAATACTGTAGTGTATCTGTTGTTATAATATTTACCATCCATCATTTTCTTCATAGGTAAAGAAGGCTCTGAATTCAGTAGCCATGGAAAACATGAAAAAAGACTCCAGCAATCCACAAGAACCATCAGCAGCTAAGAATTTACCTCAGCTGCAAGGAGTTCCTCAATCCCTGTTGGAGAAGGTGTGTAAGACAATTACAGGCATTACACAGCAGCCAATTCACTTACAACAAATGAAAAACACTATCAAACTTCTATAATTAAACAGGAGATGTAATAATCATTTCAAACAAAAAAATCTTTATTTAGATTTAAAAAGGTTTTGAAGGAAAAAAAATATTTCACTTGAGAAGTGTTTCTAAAGATATTCATCTATGTTACTGCTTTTTTGAAGGTTCGAGCTCGGGAAGCTAAGAAACAGGAACTTGCCATGATGCGTGACCCTGTGGAGGACAAAAGGTCACTGATGATACGTCGCCTCCCGGAGATGATGAGAATCCTCAGGGCTCACTTTGTGACAGAGAAAAAACCAGCTCTTACAATGGAAAATATCGTACAAAAACTAACAGACAGCTACAAGACAACCATACAAGCTGGTAGGTTGTTAGTATTGTTTGTGTAGTGTTTAAGTTTAGCAGTATCACTTTTTTTTAAAACAAAGCTTAGATTTGTTAAGAACCCTCTCCACTGCACACTAAAGAGTTCTGATTTTGTGGTATTTTCTGCAGTGAAAGTGATCTGCCCTTAGATCTAAATTCAAATCAATTGAAATCTACAGTGTATTTCTCAATTTTTAATCTATTCAAGCATTCTTAACATTTTAAAAGGCCAAGATAAATTACCTGAACACTTCATTTATTTTTTCCACAAAAGTAAATTACTGATTTCTGTTCATTGATACTTTGTTGTCTTTGAACATTTTTCCTGGGGGTAAATGCCGTGTACCATATACTGAAAATTATATTGAAGCTCAGAATTTACATCTATATACTATATGGGTGAATTAAAAAAAAATGACCACCAAACTGAATTTTTTTGGCAAAATTCAACTACTTATTACATATTTTTCACTTATATCATCATATCGCAAATGCATTCTAGTTTAAAATCCTGAAGTGGCAATAGAATAGACAATTGGATTAAAAAGTTTCAGAATTTTTATTAGTAAAATTTCTTTTGAAAAAAGAAAATATCATTACACCTTAAAAGACTTTCTAAAATACATAATCACAAGAAATTATAGTTTTTAATGCTTCAAAATGGTAAAAGGGGTATAAATGATTAAATGTAGACCTTGAATGAGTATCTTCTCTTGTACATGTGACAAAAAATTGGCTTTTTGATTGTTATTTTACATTATTTTTTCAATTCTGGTTTGAAAAGTTTTAATGTGAAAAAAATATGAAGCAATAAAATTCCCCAAAATTCACTTTTTTGTCCGTTCAAGTCAATTCTTTAAATCTAAGCCAAAAAAGAATTGTTATATACGAGTTCTCTTACAAAAAATACTAGATTTTGAAGTCACCCTATGTTACATTATTGTGTTGCACTCCTGACATCTGATATGTATTTTATTTAACATTGTTTTAAAAATTATAACACACAATAACCCATTCTTACTTTGTAAATCAATTTGTCGTGCTGATATTTTTCATCGTTTACAGCAGGTTTTTCATATTTTGAAGACCTTAAAACATGATTATTTGCAAAGTGTAATATATATAAATTGTATTTAAAATATATGTGATATGATGAAGACTATTCCCTGAATTGATTGTAGAATTTCTGTAATTTGTTGATAGACATAGTGTTTTGAACATCAAATAGTATCAAGCATTTTTTTTCAACTTATTTTTTAGAAAAGATAGTTAAAAAGCATCGGTAATTATGAAGCAGTTTTGTTGCACTCCTGACTGCAGTAAAGTTTAAAATTAAAACCATAGAACACAAAAATTCATAAAGTGTTGGCAACATCAAGTGGTAATGAAATTGTGCAATACTTATAGTCCAATACTTCATAATTAAAACAGATGAAAGTATTTAAAATTCGCATTTTATCTGGAATTATACCCTATTTTATGCCAAAAAACTAGCTTAAATGTATATTTAGAAGATAAAATATATTTTAAAGCATATTTTCCTTTAGAAGACAAACACAGTAACCCACCAGAAAAATTCTACTCATCATTTTTTCTTTATTTTTATTCTTATTGGATGATTTATAATTCTAACATATTTGTTGCACTCCTGACCAAAAGCATTGGGGCCTTTAAAGTAGAATTGTGAAGTGAAAATTACATAAGAACTTGTTCTGTTGTTTCAGTGAAGTTGAGGAGGAATTACTTGAATTTTATGACAATGTTTTAGTGTGTTTATTTTTAACGTTCATTAAAAAAATCACAAAAAAGATAAAAACACATCTGAATTGATAAAATTGAAAAAGGAAGGATTTTGATAGTAAAACTGTCAATGATATAGCATTAGATTATACAAAAAGATCACTATTAATTAATGAATACTTCTAAGCATGAATAGAAGTCTTTTCGTCACAGAACTTGAATCTTTAAAAAAATGTGTTGCACTCCTGACCATAGAAATATGGATCTGAAGCACAGACAGATCCTGTAATTGATTAATCTATTTGGTAAAAATGTTCTTTGTGTCTTTATTTTCCAAAATAAAAATCAGAAAATCATATAATGATAATAGTTTTTTCATGCTTGGAAGCAAAACATCAAATGTTGCACTCCTGACATTTTTGGGTATGCACATATACTTGACTCTCATTAATGCTGCTTGTGATTTATATAACATTTTTAAGTTTTAAAATGTATATCAGTTATTATTTTACACTTCCAAAATTCTTTTTTGTCTTAATTTTCTATCAGAATTTTACAATCGGTGTTTTTCTGGCAACACTACATTTTTTCTGTTGCACTCCTGACATGGTATAACATTTTTTTAAACATCAGCCATGACCACAACCTGATTAAACAAAAGTTTCAACAGTCCACATTTAAAGCTCAATACTTTGAATATTATCAGGAAAGTCTTTATTTTCAACATGAAGCATTATTTTTTATTTCACAGATCTCCAAAAAATATTGAAATTTCAAAATGTCACAAAAAGGTGTTGCACTCCTGACAATTTTAGCATCATTTTTGGGCATAACTTTTTTGTTAATTGAGATATCAACGAGATATTTGGCAGGTATTTAGACACTATCTAAAGACATATGCTAAGACATAGAAATCTATTTTCATTGCCTGTATTTTTAGTGTGGGTTGATAAATATGCGTTTGGTCATTTTTTTTGAATTCACCCATATAATTTTCTCAATGTCCAAATAACATTTTGTAACAGGGTATTAAGGTTCCTTCACTTGATAACACTGTCAATGTGGATATTTACATGTGTTGTTTGTTATTAGTAGCAAAAACCATACACAGAGGTGTTATTTCTGTGATACTGGGATTAGGTATTTGTAAGCAGGGGGTATTTTCAAAGATATTTATTGTAAATTAACAGTCCTCCCTCATAATAGATTTCCACATTCACTGTAGTATACTGGAGATTATTGAATGGATGCATTGGATTTATGACCATAATGGATGTCATTGTAATTCTTTGTCTGGACTTGGTAAGAAATGTCTCCAGTGAATCTGTAAAAAATGAACTTTATCTGTCATTTCAGCTGATGTTGAGACTCATGTAAAACTTCTGATAGAACTAGTTCCAGAATGGTTAACAGTGGTGGAAATCAAAAAGGGCAAATATGTAAAAATGGACAGAAATATAGAATTGGGAAGTCTTCAGTCCAAAGTGGTAAACATGGCCAAATCTTAACTTCTGTACACTTGTAAATAGGGTCTTTAAATGCATGTTTTAAGCTTCATGTAATTACCAATTATTTATGAGTTTGTTCAAAATTTTTGTTCACAAGTATTGAATACCTGGATTTTTAAAGCATGTCTTTTCTCATGGTTTGTTTTACCGAAGAAGTGAATTTTAGGAAATTTTTATAATTATACAATGAATTTATATTTAAATTAAATTTTGAATCCATATGAACATTTTATAAAGTAGCATGATATTATATTTTAATTTCCCTTTTAATTATTTCTATAATTTTGTGAAGATGTCTTGTTAATTACATGCATGTTTGTGTAATACTAGTGAATAATGGTTAAAATGTTTTGGATTTTAGTTTCTTTGTACATCAAGATTTGATGGTAGAAATTTTTGTTGAACTGAATAATCTGATCAGGAATAAATAAAGAATATTGTGTGCATGTTTTCTGTTTTGTATGCATAAAAAGATTTAAGGTTGTGTTTTTGCATAAAGGTTGCAATGTGCATTTATATATTGCACATACACCCATGTACACACTGTGTCATGTACATTGACTTGGATAAAACATTTCAAAGGAATGGTAACAATTGTGAAAGGAAGGGAGAAAATACGACATCGAAACCAGGATGGGATCTTTTCTGGCCAGGTGAAGGTAACGAACAGAATCGGTCTTGTAAATGATTATATAAAATCCAGACATCTGAAAACACGAGAGGAAAGTATCACTGGTCACACCCGTATTGTTCTCCTCTGTATTGATCAGATAAATAGGATTTATCTGTAGTCCAAATTGGTTTGAAAATGATTGCATAACTATTGGTTTGAACCATGTGAGACAAAATTTGCTCCTGTCGTGGATTGTATTTGTAATTACAGGGTTGTCCTTAAGAATTGAACTAGAAGGGGATATTAAAAAAGTAGAAGGGATTTGGGGTTCTTCCTCTAATGGGGAGTTTAGGGGGAATACCAAAATAACGGGGGGAAACATCATAATAGGTGGGAAGTTCCCCAAGTCACAGGGACAACCCTGAATAAACAACTTTTGGATATGAACTTAGACTACTTGTGTGTAGAGTCTGTAGATGACTAATTACAAAAAATATGAAAATTTTCTTTGAAGAAACTGAAGATTGTGCATGTTCAACCTGGTCTTTAATGTAACGTGAGGAATGGTTGTAAACATAAATCGTTGAAAATTCGTACATTCTGATTCTGTTTGTTTTAGAGATATGAAGTTTTGGAATCTAGTATTAGGCCAATTAAAGTCGAAGTTCTTTATAATTAAGTTGATGATAATGACTGCAGTTTGGAAGAACCTGGTTTTATTCAACAAATGGTTCTAGCACTTCTAATGTACTTTCACAATGTTTTCAATATATTCAAAACTACGTATTAACATTGCAAAATCCTCAGAGATACTTTTTTGTTATTGATTTTTTACCAGCATTTAGCGTTGCTTTATTATCTTGGTTATAAAGTACTTGCATGCATGAATTCAATCGAACCAGTTAGCGAATTATTTTAAGTACGACTGACTATATAACCCCGCTCTACTTTCGTTTTACAGGATGGTGGTGCGTATCATATTATTTTATTGTTTTACTCTTCAGTTATTTGAATTTATGAGCTACTTTCACCAAAAACTATCTAATTTAATTACTCAATTATTTTTTTAACAATGACTTGAATGTAATAATTTCTTATTTATGAAATCACGAGATCTGTTGTTCATTCTTCTACTTTCACTATCGACGGTAACGTGTATAACAAATATTTACTTGATTTCCTTAGAAAATAGCTTTACAGATAAAAGCTGATTTGGAGAATTTGACAAATTTTCGAGCGGAAGGAGAAGACTTCCGATGGTACTTGCGGGTAAGGAATTTTTTTTCTAGAATGTTCCGAGGCAACTCGACATTTCGACCCATAGACAATTTGGTCCCAGACTTCAGTCAACATAGCTGGACACAAATCATTTCATGATGACCAAATATAAGGAAAAATATCAATCACTGACTTTTAATTGGAAGCCCAGGACCAATAATAATTGTTTAAAAGCTGCTTATTCATATTCATATCATCGATTTAAAAAAAAAAATAACTTTAGCATCTGCAGGCCCGTAGCAACAGTTTCAAAAAGGGTGGGGGCAACCTCCCAAAAATTCTGACAAGCGAAAAAAAACCTTAACTGCCTTAATCCTTCAATTTGCCAGTGCTTGACCTTACAGCAACAAAAAAGGGGGTGGGGTGGGGTGGGGACCAGCATCTAAATGAGAATTTGCTATACTCAGAAAAAAGTCCCCCCCCCCTTCCGCATTCTTTCATCAGTAAGTTGATATATAGAGGACATTCAATGTTTTGTAGATGAATATGGAATTTATTTCATGTGTGGGACAGGGCTTTTTGATATTTTCACGGGTGCGAAGCAAGAGTGAAAATATCAAAGAAGCCTGTCTCATGAGTGAAATAAATTCCATATTCATCTACAAAACATTGAATTTTCTGTTTATTACATTTTCTTTGATTTTCCCTTTGCCTCTGTCTTTTCATAACACAGTGTCATAGGCTGTGATGTCATAGTTGAGCAGTTGAGATGTCATAGCTAAGTGATTGAGAGATTGAAAAGCGTTGTAAACATGGATTTTTAACAATATATTTGGAGAAACTCTGGCAGTTGTAGTCTCTGTCAGTATGGTTCATTTACTCTGTCTTATAATAGGCCAGGGAGTTTTTTTTTTTTACACTCTTCGTGAAGGGAAGGAAAATCAAGAGTTTTGCTGCACTTTTGATATTCTCTCACACTGTGAGAATACCATGATTTTGATATCCTTTCACACTGTGTCAGAATATCACTTTTATTCAATAAATAAATTACAGTATTTCACTGTTGAAAATGTAATAAATCAACATATAAATAGAAAATGATATTTTAATTATATAATTACTGTTTCAGTTGAAGTGTTGCAACTGCAATGAAGAAACAACAGAATTCCAGTACCTAAGTCTAGCTGTGAGTTTTACATTTGTAGAGAATTTACGAGCATTTGAGATTAATTTGAACATTATTTCAAACACAAAGGATGACTTACATGGATGTAAACACTTTATCTGTCTGTTATTGCTTTTTTGTGTCCACTAGACATGTTTATAAATCTGATAGTAATTCTGTTTGGGCCATAAGTAATAATTTGTGATGCAGGCATTGTAGATACATGTACTGATATGCGACACAGTTTGTTTTTGACCTTTGGGTTTTTATGACCCTGATTAAAGATATTTTTTAAAGAAAAAGTTGATGTCCCAAGGTCGTGGTGAGGTTGGCCATGAAAAATTCTTGTAATAAGTATATATATATGAAATCTTTGAGAATTTTAAATGCCATTGGAAGATCAGGAAAGAAAGGATTTAATCTGCAAGAAGATTATTGTGGAGGATCAAACATAAGAATTTAAAAAACTTTCTACAACAGTATATCTCTTGAAGTTAACAGTGGTTTCCAGTTCAGATTTGGTATAGTGTGCACTGGGGCATAGATTGATTGATTGTATGTTGTTTTACGTCCCATTCGAGAATTTTTCACTCATATAGAGATGTCACCATATACTTGTGAAGGGCTTCAAATTTTGACCTTTACTCGGCACTCAGGACCATTGAGCAGTGAGGGATCTTCATTGTATCAACGCCTGCCGTGACACGGAGCCTCGGTTTTTAAGGTCTCATCAGAAGGACCCGCAACTTTCACTTCAAAGTGCCAAGTGCATGGCGAAGGAACAGTTGCTACCCATTTTTTATCGACTTAGGTCAGTCGCGGCTGAGATTCGAACTCACGACCTCTCGATCAAGGAGGGAGTGCTCTACCGACTGAGCTACCATGAACAGTGCATAGAAGAATCCATTCAATATGCAGGAATATTCTGTGAAAGATGCAATTTATACCCAGGACCTCTGATAAAGTGATTCTGTAAATACATGTATTATGTAAGGATGGAGAAATTTAATTTGTATACACAACATTAGAATCATATATATTCATAATTCTAAATTTTTGAATTAATTAAAAGAAACTTCAATTCACTTAGACTTTTTCTCAGATTTGTATTTGTGAAAAAAGTAGCTATTTTGGGATTTTTGGGTATGTACACATTTAATTATTTTGTGTAGGTTTTACAGAGTCAATTGACCCTCCCAACTGAATTACTCAACATCATTAAATACACTGTATATGATTATAGCAAATTTCAAAGGACTGCAATAAGTGGCAATTTTCTCTAATTAACATGAATGTAAAAGCTTAATGATTTGAATTTTGAATTCAGAAATACATGTGTATTTGCATGATGTAATTGATTAAAAGTAAATATTAATGGTGAAGTGAAGAATGACATTGGAATACCTTAAGATCCATATCTTGATGGAATAAAGCTATTTTAAGAGTGTTAATATTAAGCTCCCTGTTTGTAACATAGGATAAAAGTTTAAGATTCTCATATTGTGCTGACTTTTTATGTGAAATTCGTGTGTAAAATGTTCATGTGAAAAGTACATAAAGCACTTTTTAGCTCACCTGAGCTGAAAGCTCAAGTGAGCTTTTCTGATCACCCGTTGTCCGTCGTCCGTCCGTCTGTCCGTCCGTCTGTCCGTCCGTCTGTAAACTTTTCACATTTTCAACTTCTTCTCAAGAACCACTGGGCCAATTTTAACCAAACTTGGTACAAAGTATCCTTAGGTGAAGGGGAGTGTAAATTGTTAAAATAAAGGGCCAAGTCCCCTTACAAGGGGAGATAATCAAGAAAAGACAAAAATAGGGTGGGGTCATTAAAAAATCTTCTTCTCAAGAACCACTGGGCCAGAAAAGCTGAAACTTATGTGGAAGCATTCTGGGATAGTGTAGATTCTAAATTGTTAAAATCATGACCCCCGGGGGTAGGGCGGGGCCACAATAGGGAATCCAAGTTTTACATTGAAATACATAAGAAAAATCTTTAAAAATCTTCTTCTCAAGAACCACTGGGCCAGAAAAGCTGAAACTTATATTGAAGCATCCTGAAGTAGTGTAGATTCTAAATTGTTCAAATCATGACCCCCAGGGGTAGGGCGGGGCCACAATAGGGAATCCAAATTTTACATTGAAATATCTAAGAAAAATCTTTAAAAATCTTCTTCCCATGAACCACTGGGCCAGAAAAGCTGAAACTTATATTGAAGCATCCTGAAGTAGTGTAGATTCTAAATTGTTCAAATCATGACCCCCGGGGGTAGGGCAGGGCCACAATAGGGAATCCAAGTTTTACATTGAAATATATAGGAAAAATCTTTAAAAAATCTTCTTCTCAAGAACCACTGGGCCAGAAAAGCTGAAACTTATATTGAAGCATCCTGAAGTAGTGTAGATTCTAAATTGTTCAAATCATGACCCCCGGGGGTAGGGCGGGGCCACAATAGGGAATCCAAGTTTTACATTGAAATACATAAGAAAAATCTTTAAAAATCTTCTTCTCAAGAACCACTGGGCCAGAAAAGCTGAAACTTATATTGAAGCATCCTGGTGTAGTGTAGATTCTAAATTGTTCAAATCATGGCCCTCGGGGGTAGGGCGGGGCCACAATAGGGAATCCAAGTTTTACATTGAAATACATAAGAAAAATCTTAAAAAATCTTCTTCTCAAGAACCACTGGGCCAGAAAAGCTGAAACTTATATTGAAGCATCCTGGGGTAGTGTAGATTCTAAATTGTTCAAATCATGACCCCCGGGGGTAGGGCGGGGCCACAATGGGGAATCCAAGTTTTACATTGAAATATATAAGAAAAATATTTAAAAATCTTCTTCTCATGAACCACTGGGCCAGAAAGCTGAAACTTATATTGAAGTATCCTGGGGTAGTGTAGATTCTAAATTGTTCAAATCATGACCCCCGGGGGTAGGGCGGGGCCACAATAGGGAATCCAATTTTTACATTGAAATATATAGGAAAAATCTTAAAAAAATCTTCTTCTCAAGAACCACTGGGCCAGAAAAGCTGAAACTTATATTGAAGCATCCTGGGGTAGTGTAGAATCTAAATTGTTCAAATCATGACCCCCGGGGGTAGGGCGGGGCCACAATAGGGAATCCAATTTTTACATTGAAATACATAAGAAAAATCTTTAAAAAATCTTCTTCTCAAGAACCACTGGGCCAGAAAAGCTGAAACTTGTATAGAAGCATCCTTGAGTAGTGTAGATTCTAAATTGTTAAAATCATGACCCCCAGGGGTAGGGCGGGGCCATAATAGGGAATCCAAGTTTTACATTGAAATACAAAAGAAAAATCTTCTTCTCAAGAACCACTGGGCCAGAAAAGCTGAAACTTATATGGAAGCATCCTGGGGTAGTGTAGATTATAAATTGTTCAAATCTTGACCCCGGGGGTAGGGCGGGGCCACAATAGGTATATAAAAAGGGGGGAAATCTGGTAAAGAACAACATGGCCAAAGTTACTCAGGTGAGCGATGTGGCCCATGGGCCTCTTGTTTCTGTGTATAAGATGTAATATTGTTTTGATGTTAGTTCATTTCACATTAAATATTTTATATTATGCATATTAATACATTTAAAAGATACATGTATGGGTACCCAGTAGCAGATGTACATATTGCATGTATTGACCATTTTCAGGAGAACACACCGGTAAAAGGGGGAAGAGGCCATGCTAGTCTAGTGATGAAATGTAAACTGTGCCATAGAGAAAACCATATAGGTATGTCATTAGTATATGTGATATATACTAAATATAGAAAAAGAGGGGATGGGGGATACATGTAAGATTGGTGGAGTGTGTCGTTCTTGCATGCTTAGAAGGCTGGAGGATGTTTATTAAATAACTGCTTAAAGAAGATATCCCCTCCTGATGACTTATGTATTATCTGTTCACATCTAGCACATTTAAAATGCAGTAAATCAAATATACAGTAACTTGTTGAAAAATCAATTTCCACCAAATATCGGCTGTGTCAGATATTAAGGAATGAATATAATAGTTACCCAAGTTATACTGTATAACCTGGGTTGGGGCAGTTTACACTTTATAAATCGCAAAGCGGTTTATAAAAAAGCATGAACTGTTTCAACCCAGGTCAGACCAGTATAACTTGGGTAGCTATTAAATTCATTCCTTATAATTTAATTTTCCATCATTAAGTGTAGAAAATAAGACAGTTTCTCTTTTAAAAATGCCTTCAAATTGTACATGTTTTAAATGTAACGTGAAGTGGATTGATACATTTTTATGATGTAAGTCATTGTGACGTAGGCAACACAGGTTGTACGATATACCAGTAAACTAATTTTTGCATCCAATCAAATGATGTATGAATTACAACCAAAATTAGATTATGATACATTAACAGCATTTGATGTCCATTGGGAAATGTCTTCCTCATCAGAGTTAGCACTCTTGGGCCTCGGGTTTCTTGATATTTAATCGGTGCAGCTATCATTGTCTAGCTCTTTAAATAAAAATAACAGAGAGCTTGTGCTACACTCCAAGCATAATCAGATTAAAGTGAAAAGAATGTTCACTTCTAAATAATTCTTAGTTTTACCTACTTGGACATTGCTTTGTTCATGATTCTAGGAATGAACACTATCAGTCCTTTTTTTTTTAGTTTGGATGCTTCCTCTGTGCTTCATTTTTGTGGTCAGTTAAAATTTTTTATTTTGCAGGTTCTTTCCCCTTTTATTTGCAAGAGAGCAACTTACATGTAATATTTGTTAAGAATATATTTGTATGATTTATACATTTTTGTTGACACCTTTACATAACTTTTGGTTTTACAGACATAATGAGAGACTCGTTAAAGCCATATTGTGAGACAGACAGTGGGAAGTTTGCGACAGTGGTTGTGTTTGATTGCAGAGGACTAGAACCAATAGACTTCTCACCACGAGTAAGTACACCAGACTCAGAACCAAGAAATCTTTGTTATCCTGTATGTGAAGTAATGTAAACAAAGAGAGAAAATAATCACATTTATGAACAGAGGAGCATTCAGTGATTTTTATTTCACCAACTTAGTCCAAATATCAGCCCTTTCTCCTTATCAAAATTAAAGAATTTTTCCCAATTAAATTAGCTTGTACTTTTCTTCAAAATGTGATTTAGAGTCTTTGATCATTTTTGTGTTTAAGCAATGTAGTACAAAATATGGAATTAAAATACTGTAATCAAATTGACATAATTCATTTAGCTTACCCAGTATTTACAGTGATATTAGTTTTTCCCAATTTGTTCCAAATTTTGACAATTTTTCCCAATTCAGAATCCACAGGCACCTTTTTAAAAATGTTCGAAATTCACTGGCATTGTGTTTATATTGTTGAGTATCAATTTTGGGGTGTTAAAGAATTAATATAATATATAGGTCATGACATTTCACAACAAGTAAATCAAGCAGACATGGAACACAAACCTGTGCTTGTTATTGGGTTTGTATATCAAATTTTCTTAGGATTTGTTACTGATGTATTGTATTTGTAGGATTTGTTAATATGTTGTATGTATTGGCAGGAATTGTCACAGATATCCGTGATGTACTATATTATATAACTTACAATGTTATAACATGTTCTTGTTTTGTTGCTGACATTTATTGGCAGGATTTGTTGTTATTATGTTGTATATACATGTATAAGGAATGAATTTAATTTTTGAAGATTCATGAGGACATGAACTACGACGCTTCACGCTGGCATATTTCATGAAGCATGTTAGCGCTTCATGATAAATGTGCCGGCGTGAAGCGTTGTAGTTCATGTACCTCATGAATTTTCAAAAAATAAATTCATTTCTTATATTAACATTATTTTTCTGCTGAGTTTGATGTCAAGTACAATATTATGATGTAACAATTGAGATATTCATGCTCATTCATGGTAGTTCATGAGAAAATGAACTGTTTTCTATTTTGTAAAGAATCATAGGGGAAATTTATTGGAAATGTAAATATATAGATATGTTACAGTAAAACTCAGTAAAAGCAAAGTCTTTGGGACCTGTGAATTTAATTCGCTACATTCATATTTCATTACATCAATTACATCATTACATTAAATTTTTTATCAATGGAAGTGGTCAATTTGACTGGTAGCTGCTTCTTAGGAAAAACACTGGTATAACTAATTCCTTAAGGTACATATAAAGTGAATTCACAATATACATGTTTTTCTTCAAGTATGATTAAATAAGATAATGTCACTTCAATAATTTACATTTTGAGATCTTTAAACATTCGTTTTGTTATTTTTAACCTCCACACAAAATCAGTTAGCCATATCCATAAATTTGTTTTATCAGAATTCGATATAACTGTAAAATTTTACAGTGCATTGTTAAGAATTTTGTGGGATCCAAAAAAACTTCACTGTATCCTTAAATTCCCTATATCAGTGTTCATACTCAATAAGTTTTACTATATATATGTTGTATTTGAAGACAAGGATTTGCTACTGATTTTCCTTTTTATACAAGTTTTGTTACTGGTATGACATTTTTTCGTTAATAGCAGAATTTGTTATAGATGTGTTAATTGTGTTTTATCGTAGACTGAATTTCTTATGACTTTTACTTTTAGTCAGGATTTGCACTTCTAATACTGAATATGCTGTTTTAAGGAACTATAAGGATGTGTTACTGATGTGCCGTATTTGTAGGCAAGATTTGTACTTGATAATTATGGGGTTTTTTTTATATTATTTTGTAGGCAGGATTCGTAGCAGAGGGAGCAGAATCTGGGACACCGTTTACAGAAATAGCTTTCAATGAAGGGGTAATGACTACACTACTTATTATGCATGTTTATAATTAACTGCATCATTTACAGCTGAACTTTGGTATCTTGAACACTGATATCTTGAATAGATGGTTTTCCTATGATGTATTTTGACTTGGAGTTATTCCCCTTGACCACCATCTTGTAGGTCAAAGAAGTGAATTTTCCTCGTTGAGCAACCAATTTTAAACATGCATGCCAGAAATATGTGGTAAAAAATATTTACAATATTGAAATTATGAATTAAAAGAAGCTTTAACAAACATATATTCATAAGAAAAACAGTGTTATCTTCACCTCAGTGCCCAGAATAACAAATTGAACTTGGTTGAACAATGAAGGGATCTGGGGATGTTGACCTACAATATGGCGGCCATGGGGAATAACTCTTGCTTAAATCACCTTGATGGAAAACCATCTATACCATGAATATGTGGAAGTGATTTTGAAGTCCCACCTACTAATTTTTTAAGTATTTTACCCTTGATATCTTGAATCCTCGGATATCTCGAAGTTTTTTTATTGGTCCCATCGAGTTCAAGATTTGACTGTATTTACAGGATCCTTTTAAGCACACGTGAGCTGAAGGCTCAAGTGAGCTTTTCTGATCGAAATTTGCCCGTTGTCTGTCGTTTTTGTCATCGTTAACTTTTCACAATTTCATCTTCTTCTCAAAAACCACTGGGCCAATTTCAACCAAACTTGCCACAAAGTATCCTTTGGTAAAGGGGATTCAAGTTTGTTCAAATGAAGGGCCACTCCCTCTTCCAAGGGGAAATAATCATTGATGATTCTGTTCCGATATTTAGCGGAATTCCGCTAATTTGAATCCAAGAATCCGATATTAATGAGTGTTTTCCGATATTTCAGCACTTTCTACTTTTGCAGCAACCCGTTTCTATTTTAGTCCGCGTAAAAAGTTCAAATTGTTTCGTCCATGTTTCATCTAGTCTGCATCATCCAGAACTGCAAGTAAGTTAAACACAAACTAATGGGTTGATTCAGACTTCCTTTCAGTGGCACGGCAGTTCATTCAGCCTGGTCAGGATGTAAAAGTTGTTGAAAAAACTGTCACACTACAATTTTCATCACTCATTTAAACTTACTTTGGGATTGCTGAAGCCAATATTTTGTAGCCCCTCGACCCCTGAACTTTTTCAGATATTTTGGCCAATTCACAAAATCATCACTGAATAATTACAAAATGGTGAAAAATTAATGGCATCTTTTAAAAATCTTCTCAAGAACCAATGGGCCAGGAAAGATGAAACTCATGTGGAATCATTGTCAGGTAGTGTAGATTCAAGTTTGTTCAAATCATGACCCCTGGGGGTAGGGTGGGGCCACAATGGATGATCAAAGTTTTACATAGGAATATATAGGAAAAATCTTTAAAAATGTTCTTCTCAAGAACAGCAAAGATTGGTCATATTTATATGGAAGCATCCTCAGGTGGTGTAGATGCAAGTTTGTTCAAATCATGACTCCCGGGGGTAGGGTGGGGCCACAATGACAATCAAAGTTTTACATACAAGTTTTTAGGAAAACTCTTTAAAAAATCTTCTTCTCAAGAAGAGCAGAGCCATGATTGGTCATATTTATATAGAAGCATCCTCAGGTGGAGTAGATTCAAGTTTGTTCAAATCATGACCCACCGGGGTAGGTTATGGCCACAATGGACGATCAAAGTTTTATGTAGGAGTTTATAGGATAAAATCTTTAAAAATCTTCTTCTCAAGAACAGCAAAGCCATTATTGGTCATATTTATATGGAAGCATCCTCAGGTGGTGTAGATTCAAGTTTGTTCAAATCATGACCCCCAGGGGTAGGATGGGGCCACAATAAAAGTTCAAACTTGTAGGAAAAAAAGCCACAGTTAGTCAAAGAAATATGTAAGCATCCCTAGTTAGTGTAGATTCAATTTTGTTCAAATCATGAACCCCCCTCCTCCCCCCATACTATAAATAGTATTACTCAGGGTTCTCCACATTTGAAAATTTAACCATGGAGGAAGCTGCGCGAAGGCACAATGCGACCAAAAACACGAATGCATGTCAGACTTCCTTAACCTTCATTAATCAATGATTGATTAATTCACAAAACTTAACCACTGCAGCACAAAAAGTTGAAATAACCAATGATTTTTTAAGCTTAAAAATTAAAAATAAAAAGGATTATGTATCTTAAATGTAATTACTCTACAAATGTACCAAAATTGGTCCAAAACTGTAAAAACATTTTGAAGGAATTTAAAAATAATATTTTGATAGAGTAACCATGGCAACAGTTTTCAAAAACTGATATACAGAATTGATGTTGCCTTTATATAAAACGTTTTATTTAAATATGACTAAAACTGATGAATTGGTAGTACTTTAAAAAAAAAAAGTTAACAGACACACAAACAAACGAAAGCCGAAATCCTACTAATGCCTAAGCTTTTTTTAACTGCATGATCTCATAGGCACTCCCCAGCTTAATTGTTAAAAAAATATATATCTACTATTCTATAAACATAACAAGGCATGAAACTAGCCTCCATGTTGGATTCCGCTTAGGGGCACTTTCTGACTAATAGCGAGAATTTCTCGCCTAAGTCGGACTTTTCTCACACATCGGAAGCTGTCATTTATTGAAATAAAATCAAATCAGGTTGAATCTTGCAGTACGTTCGTGGCATTCACGCGTTTTCTAACATTTCTCTGCAAACCAGGTCTCCTCGGCCGGAACTTAAAGGTTTATGGGGGCCTAGATAATTCGATCGTCGTTTACCTTCAAAGTAAGCTAACGCTGTTTTTCATAACGAACGAATGTACCGTGAAATAAATATAATTTTACACCAATAAGACCTTGCAAGATTTTATAATACATGTTCAGGTCTATAAAAAGCTGTTTCAGTGTGTTTGTGTTTGTGTGTGTTGGGGGGGGGGGGTTCAACTGAACAACAATTCTTTGACAAGAAAATATATAGTTGAAAGAGGACAATCGTAATTAAGTTAGGTTTGTTTTCTATTGCATAGTATTAGTATATTCATGTAATGGCAAAATTATAGGGGCGAAAGAAGGGGGGGGCACGTTTAAGCAGACGAGTCTTCAATATATATATATATATATATATATATATATATATATATATATATATATATATATATATATATATATATATATACATATATATATATATATATATATATATATATATAAGCAGTCTTGAAGACAGTAGCAGATCTATCGGGGGAGGGGGGGGGGTCACCCCCTTTTAACTTTTTAAGAAAAATAAGAAAAGGGGGAAAATATTCAATATAAAAGAAAGTCTTGATAAAACTTATGCTTTAATACTAATTTTCCCTAAGCGGAATCCAACATGGAGGCTAGTTTCATGCCTTGTTATGTTTATAGAATAGTAGATATATTTTTTTAACAATTAAGCTGGGGAGTGCCTATGCATGATCTATGAAAACTTACTGGTGGCATACATGGTAAAAGTAACTTATTATAACCAGGGGCATTAATTTGCATTACTGTAATTTTGCTTTCTCTTCTGTCTTTTTCTAAACGTTATTTTTTTTCTACATATTGCATTTTCGCTGAGTTTCTCCATTGTTTATTCCTCCACGTGTCCGTGCTAAAAATAGCGCCACGCGAAGTTTCATAAAAACGGGAGGTAACTTTAAAACTAAGACGACGGTTGGCACTTACGTACGGTACATTTTATCAGAAAGATAATGAAGTTATATACTTTTAAAGAACAAAGAATGAGGAATCGATTAAATACAAAGAATAGGGAATTTTGAAAGGGCTCATTTTTTTCTGGGCATACCTACTGCTCGTTATGATCTGTTACCAGTGAACATGATGGAATTTCCCGAAATTACATGTTTGTATAGTTACAGGATAATTAATTCTCAAGATATTGATCTTTAGCTGATTGACCCTCCATTGTCACGCTTCACAGCATAGTCGCCGATCAGCGACTGTGTTTGTTTAGCACAGTCCGCTTTCCTTCGAGGCATGCGAGATGCATATCAGTCGTAGTATAAACACAATTAACTACTCAAGTCATTAAAAAGTAGGTGTAAATACTAAAATGCAATAAAAATTTAACCATGGCTGCCGTCGATTTTAACCATGGCGCAGCTCGTTTAACCATGGCGCACATAAATTTAACCATGGCGGGCCGCCATGGTAAAACCCCTTGTGGAGAACCCTGTTACTATTTATTACAGGGCCCTTGTTTAGTATTCCTAGTTGTGCTATATAAAGTATTACTATTTATTACAGGATTCTTGTTTAGTATTCCTAGTTGTGCTATATATAGTATTACTATTTATTACAGGACCCTTGTTTAGTATTCCTAGTTGTGCTATATATAGTATTACTATTTATTACAGGACCCTTGTTTAGTATTCCTAGTTGTGCTATATATAGTATTACTATTTATTACAGGATTCTTGTTTAGTATTCCTAGTTGTGCTATATATAGTATTACTATTTATTACAGGACCCTTGTTTAGTATTCCTAGTTGTGCTATATATAGTATTACTATTTATTACAGGACCCTTGTTTAGTATTCCTAGTTGTGCTATATATAGTATTACTATTTATTACAGGACCCTTGTTTAGTATTTCTTGTTGTGCTATATATAGTATTACTATTTATTTATAGGATCCCTGTTTGGTATTCCTAGCTGTGCTATATATAGTATTACTATTAATTTACAGGATCCAGATTGGGTGGACTATGATGCACAAGCTAACCAGTCTGTGGGAGTGTATAACATTCAGCACAGATTTGAGGTGGTCAAATAGAACTTTTTTTAACCGGTGTTTTAGTATACGCATAATAAAAGTACATGGAGCAATTCTCATGTGATTTTGTTTTTTTAAATGAAATTTTAAATGCAAGACATTATAACAAATCAAAGAATGAAATTTACTCCAGTCTTCCAATTTGTCAGCAGTCTTGACTAGCTGCTGCTATTGTGTGAGTGAAGAAGTAAGAGCTAAGAAAATTGTTGTTATCAATTTATTAATAGGGAACTTGAGGTTGTTTTGACAAAACCAGCATGTCAAAATGAAAGTCTAATTAAAAGTTAACATTTTTTCAACAATACATTGCTTGATATGTAACAAGGAAAGTAAGTATTAAACAATATCGTGTAAATTATTCATATAAATATAGAATGTTCATTAGACAAGTTTTATTCTAAATGCATACATGTCTATATGGTTGATATGGGCAGAATGAAAAATGTATTGCACAAAGAAAAAGTGAAATTAAAATGTTCTAAATAGAGAAAGTGGAGGGAATGTCATATTCATGCACAACTATTTTTTAAAAAAAGATTTACACAAAATATTTAATATACAGGTACTTGTAAAATTAAACTTAAGAAAAAAGGGAGAGCGACCAAGTCCTACCTTAATATTTTAGGTAAGTATATACAGTCATGATAATGCATATACATTACCTCAGCAAATCTGATCTTTCCGACATATCACAGACAAAATTAAATGCATCTATATACAGTAAAACACTCTTGTAGTAAAGTGCCAGGGACGACAAATTTCGATTCAATACGTAATGTTTTATTATAATTTCATGTTAAATACTAAGATTTGAGTGGTTTAGATGCATTAAACAATCTGCAATGTGCTGAAATCCTAAATCATTTACACATTCAGTATAGTAAAATAAATGGTGCCTGTTTTGGAGGGTAACAGTCGAAATTGACACCCCTTGGAAAACCATTGTCAACCTCCGATAACAAGTCATTTGACAATGGTTTTCCTTGGGGTGTCAATTTCGATTGTTACCCTCCAAAACATCACCATTTATATAATGTCCATTAAGTATAAGAAATTTAAGTTATAAAACCACAGGGAATGAAAATCGGTTCACTGTAGGCATAATAATAGTCATTATATGCATATTTGCTGTAACTGTGTTTTACTGTATATGTACTTGTAATACAAAAGATACCACAGATAAAGTGTATTGTGTGTGTTATACATGTACATGTATGTATTCAGCAGTGGGCTTAAGCTGTCAATTTTATTTACATGTGCCTGATCACATTTGCTGGATGGTTTATATAAATCTGGGAGAAGCCTATCTGCTTTCCCTGGTTTGTAGGATGTCTATGAAAAGTTACATAATAGGTGTTGCATTAAATGTTCTTTGAGAAACCTTCATAGTATGGTGCACTGGGAAGACTTGGTAGGAAGCCTCTCCTCTGACTGAAACTCAAGGTCAGATTGGAGTTTGGGGATTCCGTCCAACACCTTTAACTGGGTCAAAATCTGGAAAACCCTAAAATGAAAATGACTGAATTACAGATAAATAAAATATACTGAAGTAGTTCAAGCAAGCCTTCATTAATTTGACTCTAAGAGATTCCAAATCCTGTGAGTAAATTGGTGTAAAATCATAACATATAATTGATAAAAAATAATTTGTTTCATTTCGCAATATTATGATTTATTTGATTTTAATTGTTAATATTATATGATTTAAATCACAATATATAATTTTGTAACAAGTCTTAAAAATGCTGATCAGTCAATGCATGTAAAAGTCAATGAAGATAATCCGTTATAAATTCCATTAACACCGAATATTAAACTACAAGATGTTAAGATTTCACAGAACTCTGGTTAGTGACCTACTTTGGTCGGTAGTTGATTGTGAAGGTTACAGGATTTCCATTGAGATACAGTTCCTCAATAGGAGAGGACCGAAGCTTAGACAGGCCAGAAAAAGACTGGATGTCATTATCCTCCAGCATTAAGGAGCGGATCCGAGGTATAGAGGGGAGTTCCTGTATTTAAAGACCAAAAAACATATATTGTATATTGGTTTTACATGCATGGAGGTGTTCTGGTGACGATTTCATTTTAATACTTAATCCTTTAATACACACAAGAGTTTAATGAATAAAAAAATGCATTAAAGAATAAATCATTTTGATATCATTTTGAAAGTCTAAATTGTTTGATAATCATTTTTCAAATTTCTTGTATCAAAATAAGTAAAAAAAAGTAAAAGCAATCACCGAGAAGGAGTATATGAAATTATTATTCAGGTTCAACACTTCACATCTGAAAACATGAAAAAAAGAATCATACAGTTCTGCACACATAAATATACAATTTTTCTGATTCAGTAACACATATCCTGAAGGTTGATGAGAAGTTTGATTGATAATACCCATCCTGTTCAATAAAATTTATGAAAAATGTATCAAAACAGAGTTCATGACTCTTGAACGCATCATTGCCTATAAAATATATATATAAAATCCCAATCTCAATTTAAGAGAGGAACTAACTTTGGAAATGACTTCCACTTGAGGCTTTGTATGGTGTTGTCGGTCAGATAAAGATGCTCCACGTTCTGTAGTCTCCCCAGGATGGCATTAAAACTAGATCTCTGGTACGAGTCTTGTAACTCCTGGTAACATAGGCTGACAGACTACAAAAAAAATAGTAATAAATGTTCAATGATGTTAGTATAATTATATCAGATTTCATAGAGCAAACATGAATTGGTGATATTTTCATCATAAATATTTGAATTCATATCTTAATGCCAGTTATTTTACATTAGCACACTTAACAGGAGCTAAAAACAGGAAATTAAAATTAAAAAAAAACACAAATTACAGTAGAGAAACTGAATATTGTTATCTTTATACAAAAAATAATTCTGTTGAGAGGATCTGCCACTCTTTATTAGTGATTTTACATTAGCACACTTAAAGGACTTATCGCATGTTTCTAAATTATTTGAAATTAAAAGCGTATTACGTTCCTTATGACCACAATTTATAAATTCTGTGTTTTTACTGTGGATAAATCGCGCTAATTAACCAATTATTGACTCAAATGAAAACCCCTGAATTAAAAATCTAAGTTAATTAGATAGCGATCACGTGACCCTGTGACGTCAAAGGCGACAATGGCTGATCAGCTCTTCAATAATCTTACTGAAATATACGCGATGCAACGTACAGCAGCTAAAAACAGGAAATTAAAAATTAAAAAAAAAACAACACATATTACAATAGAGAAACTGAATATTGTTATCTTTAATCTTACAAAAAATAATTCTGTTGAGAGGATCTGCCACTCTTTTAACCAGTGATTTTAAAATCTTTATCCTTGAATCCAAAAAACACATTGTACATAGAACATTTTTCTTTGTAACAAAGTAAATATATGTGTACTTTAGCATTCTCCCAGTTTTCCATTGTATGTCTGTAGGAGTCCCTCGATGCACCTGTACGAGAATGGTGAATTACTTTGTCTTCCTCATCTCTCATTTTATAGAATGCTTTGTCTTTTTCTGGGGGACCTAAAGTGGAAAACAAAACTCTTATAAAACATTTGCTAAAAATTGTAAATTTAAACATACATTAAAACTCCCACTTTAATTCAAGGAAATAAATAAATATTGAAATACATGTACATGTATGTATAAAGAAAAAAATTGAAGGAGACCACAAGCACTTCACATTACATATTTTTCTTATTAAAAACAATTATACCACTTACCTAATCATGCTAGGTTTGGGGTTATACTTTTATTTAATAAGAAAAATATGTACCCGGTAATGTAAAATGCCTGTGGAGGAGACAGTCCCCAGTGTCTCAATGTTGTCTGAATCACACTGCTTTTTGTAATAAAACGATCAGCGAGTGCTGCCCTCACAGTCAAAGGCAAGCGTTTAAAACCAATTTCAGCTTAAAATGTATGCTAAATGATGTATACTTGCTGATTTATTTGAAAATGAAGCTTATTTTTGTTCCAGAGAAAATACATTTATTCACTCCTCTATCCCAACACATAAGATCTGATATAAAACATTTAGTTTTGTTGTGGTTTGGAAGACAATCTATGCAATGCTGAGCCTTAGTGATGATACTGATGTACCTCTCTCATCCAGTAAATTTTCAAATCAATATTAGAGTAAAATTAAATTCCTCAAATTTTCTTGAAACTTAAACTTTAAAACAACATGTATTAAATTTAATAATTTAATTTCATATGTAAATTCCAAGTCATACACAATTGAAGTTCGGTATCTCGACACCAATATTTCAAAGATCATGGATATGTCGAAGTGATTTCAGAGTCCCAACCGCTTATTCTTTTAAGTAGTTTACCCTCTATATCTGCAATCCTCGGATATCTCTAAGTTTTTTCTTGATCTGATCGAGTTCAAGATAATGATGTTTGACTTTAATGATCTCAAAGCATGACTTAGACAAATGATAATGTAAATCACCTTTTACTCATGAGAACTTTATTTTCACATAATTATGCGAGATCACCTGCTCACGAAAATTTCAATCTCATGTGTAATTCTATTATCAAAGATTATAAAGAGAATAAATAAAATTCATCAAAATTTTGTTTTGCTTATAAATACCAAACAATAATCTCACAAAAATAAGGTGTCATTAGAAAATTTAGTCGTCTACAGTAGATTACTCTTACCTAAAGTGTAGCAGAAACTTACATAGCTTTTTATCTTTCTTTAAGAGATTGAGCACAGTCAAGAATGTAAACACATTAATTTAACAATATGTTGTGCATCTCTTGGAATAAATGTTTATCCTAGAATTTGTTACTCCAATGAAAAGGCTGATTATAGTTTGTTACATAGAAGTGATTACCTTCTCTGACCCTGGGGGCTTTCAGCATTGTTCCTGTAAGACATGCCTCCCTAAGATCATGCCACACAGAGTATTGGAATCTGTGGGATGGAAGCTGAAGAAAACAAATTATTGCAGGTCAATAATGATTCATATTTCATTTACTGGTATTCTCAGGCAATCATGGCAATATTATAATTCCACAAACAACTCACTGCATTAACGTGAAAACAATTATCCACATTAGTCTGCCTTGCCTGATATATATCTAAACCTAATCAAAAAATGATGTATAATTTATTAATAATGTTGCTGTTTGATAAAACCTGTGGAACATTGTGTGTGCCTTCTCCAGACTCCCGTAAATGTTTGTAGGCAGACACCACCGTGAGTGGCACTGCTGAGGCTCCATGTGACTGATACGTGTCTCCTGTCTGGTCTGTTTCCTGACTCTGTGTACTCTCCGCTTTCAGGGATTCCCTAGAATCATAGATATATTCAATTTTCACAATGATCAGTGATGATCCAAAAATGTTTGTACTGAACAGATTGAACAGTCCATCCTTATGAGGTAATTGATCATAAGTGCTCTTCTTTATATCTAACTTCTAGATAAACTGTTTATAAACAACTTACTTAAGTAAATGGTTTTAACCTGTTAACCATTTGACCTAAATTTTTATTCTAAGGTGTTCTCCAAATCACTCTCAAATACTTTGATGAATAAACAATAAAACGTATACATAAAGAACTATCTATGGTTTGGGCCATTTACAAAATATATTCCTTATTTAGCTCCAAAGCTAAACAAGTGGAATTAATAAGTAAAATAAGAAAATTAGAAATTCATTCGTAACAGACATACCTGTCGGCCATGTTTGTTTACATTATCAACATAACACACAAAACCAAATATTAGTAGAACGACTTTTTAATTCATTTGTGGAGATTAAGCATCAATATGATTTCAGTACACGAAACAATTATTTTTTAATTATTCTGTACTCAAAATAATATTTGCGTAAAGATTAAAAAAAGGGGGGTATGTATCCGGAATTAAGAAGTCGCTGAGTTTCGATTTTGTTGGTTAGTTCCTCCATAACGTCAAATATTGAGCTGGAACTGGAAGTTGGAAATCCCTTTGGAAACATTGCCGTATCTAGACATTGAGTAAAGTTATATGATGTGAATATCAGGGATAAAAAGTTTCTTACACGATCATTCAAGAAATTTACTTCAGACAGATTGCTTGGTAAGCTGTCTCTACCGAAAAGGGGGAGATTTGTTATTGGTAAAAACTTTATAGTAGATACCATGCACAAAAGACGTTCAAGTGAAAGTATGATTTAAAGGAAACCCATTTAAAGTTTGTAATTAAAATGATAATTATAGCTTAAGTAACTCTCTCCTAAAAGTACACTTTACACAATATTGAGACTCATTTAAATTGAATTTTCTTGGTTCTGTTATAATAAATTATTTGACCTAATTAATTTTGGTGATGAGACATAATTGATAAATAACATGTTAGTTAGACAGGCCCCCACTGGAATCAAGTGAAGAATATGCTAAGTAGCAAAACAATGTGGATCCAATCCAGCAGGATATTGAAGATTTTGATGAATGCAAATAAAGTTGCATTGAAAATAACCTGAGTAAATTAATCATAAGAAGCCTTAATATACCTCACTTAAGTCTTTTTATCTGATCATTAAGAGTCTGACTTTAGTCTGTTTTGTGTTGTCTGTTAACTTTTTAGTACACCTGATCCAGAGGCTCAAGTGAGCTTTACTGATCTACTTAAGTGTCCAGCATCGGTCTATCTAGTTGTATGTCATATGTTGTTTGTTGTATGTAAACTTTTCACTTTTTTATCTTCTTCCTTTAACCAAATTCAATCAAAACATCCTTAGGTAAAAGAGATTCAGATTTATTCAAATGAAGAGCCATTCCCTTTTTCAAGGGGGAGATTATTAAGAAGTAGTGCCAATTTTACTTGTCCCTCCTGTCCTAATTTAAGGAGATGTTTAGATTCATTTAGATTATTCATTCCCTCCTTACATGTACCTCTCTATGCTAACTGAACTATTTTTTTAACAGGAAGCTGTTTTATTAGTGTGTTTGGCTTCCTTTTGGAATAAGTGGATCAGTCACTGTCAGGCATTTAGAGGATAAGAAATGTTATGCTGAGAAATATCTTGGAGTATGTCAAAAAGAAACAAGCACAGACCTGTTGATGCTGAGAGAACTGTGGCAGAGGCCATGAGACAGGTATGTGTTATATGTGATATATATTTTTATCCCATGTTTACCCCTTTATCCCGTGGATATGACTCATTGGATAAATTTTTCATATTCCACAGTTAAGTGCAGTTGTGACGTCACAATGGTTTTTGCATTAATAGAGTGATGAAGTAAAATAAAGTGGAGTCCTATATAAAACAGTGTAAAACATTGGATGTGAAGTATTAAACATGGGATAAAAAGAATCTCCCATGATTTGTAGTTGGATATGACTTTTATCCAACTCGTTGTGTGTTTTTATCCCCTCGCCAAGGCTCCGGGATAAAAAACACACAACTCGTTGGATAAAAATCATATCCAACTACAAATCATGGGAGATCCTATATATACATGTGTATGAAGCTCTCATATTTTTTTTTTATGCAGACTGCAGGTTTATCATGTTTATTGTTCATTTTAATTGAAATTTTGCACATGTATGATGTATTAGATTTTGAATATATAAAGAATATGTTGGTGCATGGATGAACACCTGTATGTGAAAGATTAATTCTCTTCCTTTTTCTACCAGGTGGAAAAGGCTATGAAACATGTTAAGGTGGTCACAGGAGGGATGAATGATCAGGGATATGGGGGAAGCCCTGGTATGGAGTTTACTTCAGAAAGTGGGCGTGACGAGGCAGAGGGTATGTATAATTATAATCATTAGGTTACATTCCACTAAAGTGTGTGAGAGGATATTATAGATACATTACACTGAATTCAGTGACAAAGGACAGTCATAACAAAGATCCGATACATTTCTCAGAATTTATTGACAGAGAAAAGATAAACAGAAATGTCTGCATCAGTAAGTGGACAACAAGGAATCTTACTCAAAAATAACCCACCATGTACTCATGCAGTCTTTACATGTGTACATGCATGTATATATTTTATTCAGCATAAACATATTGTGTTGGTAAAATCTGTGTGGTTTCTGCTTCTTATGTTCACATATGTGGATGTACTCCTTAAAATTCAGGTGATATAAGTTTGGTTGTTACAGTGATGGTGAAATATTCCATAGTGTACAGTTGTATCCATACTGAGGATTTGAATTGTATCACGGTCCCTGGCAAATATCACTTGTACAATATTGTTCAAAAAGGAATTTGTTATGTGGTCTGCCATATTTGTAATTCATCCCAGAGAAACATTTTGTATTTTATTTTGATATTTAAACATTTGAATTCTGTTTGAATAGGTGCAAGGACAAAGATAAACAAAGATGGCTCAATCAAAATTGAAAAAGGTTTCATTGGAAAAAAGACTTCAATACATATACATAATTCAAAAAATGTACAAGTTGGAAACAACAATGTGATGGTGGTAAATCAGACATCAGGACGTCGTAGAGGAAGGCGACGGAACGACACGAGTTCTGATTCGTCAGACTCGTCGGAAGAGGATCCACCAAGAGAGGCAGCTAAACCTATCACCGACATCTGTCAACAGATTCTCAGTAATTATTTCATTATTGATCACAGACAGTATTTCATTATTGATCACAGACAATATTTCATTATTGATCACAGACAATATTTCATTATTGATCACAGACAATGTTTCATTACTGATCACAGACAATATTTCATTATTGATCACAGACAATAAATATGAGTAAGACAGAAAAAAAATTAAGTAAAATTAAAATAAATTTTCATTTTTTTCAAAAGATATAAATGGACCATGAACTCATGTTTTTTTTTGTTTTTAGTATAAAAATGAAAAAAAAAATGATTAGAATTTTGGTTCAAATTGATTGCTTTAGATTCCACAGTCACTTCAGATTTGTTGATGATTTTATGCACGCTTGTTGATCTCAGTTTGATGTGTATTTCTAGGTTCCACCAGACTCGCCAACGACCAGGACATCAGGAAAGCCACTACAATGATTGGTAAATCATGGCGGAGAGTAGGTAAGAAAATGGAGATGGTGATGTCTACAGAATTCCAGTGATGTCTTTCATATGTGATACATATTATGTAAATTACAGTTCATTTGCCAGTGTTTTCAATAAGATTTTCAATAGAAGGAAATATACTTGGAATAGCAGGAAACCAATCTCAGCGAGGGATTTGGGGGCCGCCTCAGGCCCCCAGCGGGTCCAGGGCAAATCCCTGGTGGGGGGGGGCCCCCCCCCCCCCCCCCCCCCCCGGCCTAAAATGAAAATTAGAATTTTTGACTACTTTTTTTACCTCTCAGGCCTATAAAAAGTACCATGTTTTTTCACATTTCGGTCACTATCAATTATCAAATTTTACCCTATAAAGCCATTTAGAATTAAAGGTAAATACTTTCCCTGTATTCCAAGAGATCTAACACAAATAAACGAGAATACAAAGTTTACATTAATTTTTCAGTTTGAGGAAATTCTGTTGGAATTCCTACGTCTTGGCCACAATTAAAAAATTAAGACTTTATTTGTTAGGTCTAAAAATTTGACATTTTCAGTTTGAGGAAATACTGTAAGAATTCCTTGTCCTACATCTCAGTTAGGATTAAGCAATTAAGACTTTTATTCGTAAGGTCTTATTATATCGGCCTAGATATAAATAATTGCTGTTGTATTAATCTTGACCTAGCTTGTGCAGTGACAGTGAATATTTAAAAAAAAACATTTATTTCCCTGTTCGACATTTTAGACCGGCCGTAGATACATGACGCTTCTGTCAATGAAGCCCCAAATTCTCAATAATCTTGATCACATCCTGTAAAGCTTAAGTTAAATCACAATCGTTGAGTTGTGAATTTTATATGAGGTTGGAATTATTCATTAAAAAATTATTCTTTAAACTTTATTCTCACAAGTTGTAGCTGTAGCCTTGTTCAGTAGTTGTAGTACCGTACGTATTGGATCAAATCAAACTTCGATGAAAAAGAGCGCACTCAAGGGAAGTTACTCTAGATCATGTAGATATTCGTGATAAAAATCTACGGATTTCATGTACAAACTCTAGCAAAATCCCAGTGACGGAAATTTAATAGCCGGCAAAATTTCTCGTACAGGCGGTTAATTTTGCCGGTTGCCGGCTCTTATTGAAAACACTGTTTGCAATATCTTTATTTATGCATAAACCTGTGAAAATGAAGTTCTGGTAAGTAATATTTATATCAATATATGAAATCTTAAGTCTGTAATTCATATGCAGGTCGAACCCTGAATGTAAGCGACACTGACCTAGAACAGATCTATATCCAGTACTTCAGGGAGGAGGGAATACGAGGTGTGGCACATCATATGTTTACAAAATGGAAACAACATAATGGCAAGAAAGCCACAGTAGGAGTCTTGACAACTGCACTGTCAAAGGTCAATGACACCAAGGACATCCAAGTGAACTTTGAACCATAATAAAGGGTTTAACATTGAGCTTGTGCCTTATTTTATGGTGATTGGCATCTTATTGTGATATTACTAGGAATCATTTGCTAATTTGTGAGTGTTCAACTTGAAAATTCTCTAAAATCAGCCAGTTTTTAGCACAGAGGGAGGAATGAAGCTTTGCCGGATTAAGTTTTCTCTCTGTATGGACGAAATTTGAAGCATAGGAAACAAGAGAAAATTATAATAAAGAGATGTCCGAACACAGTGTTTTAATTAGACTTAAAAAAAAAGATATTTTAATTACAAAATATTATTGCATTCTTCAACCTCTATATTCTACACACTGCATGGCCTCACTTTCAAATTAATAAATGGTTCACTCCGAGTCAGAGAAATAGACATGATACATGTATGTCTATAAATCATCTAGATATGCAACAGTTTGATAATTTTAACTGGTCTATTATCATACTGACACTTGTGTGTATGTAAACCTGACCATTATTAGAGGACTCTTTTGAAAAAGCTCCGATTTTATTACATTTAATACAATATTTCATATTTTTTTTTTACATAAGTGTCTTCATTTTGATATTTTTTTTAAAATTATGTACATTTTAATTATGTATTGAAATATTAATCAAGTGGCAGGTTAATTCATTCATATTTCTGATTTTGAACATTAAACAACTGTTAAACATCTTGTGGTTTTATGTAAAGGCAAGATTTCGCAGTAAAACCAACAGGGTCTTTACAAGATATATGTATGCAGTGGCCTCAAGAATATTAATATTAACATCTGATCAATGAATAAATATCAAATATACTTAAAGCATTCTCTGTCCAGAGTTATCTACTACCTCACATATACACTTCTGTCTATGCTTGTAATACAAAATATTTGGCAAATCTTTTAATTGGGAAAGCATAATTTATAATCATTCTAAATTATTATTTATCAGTAAAATTTATTTAACTTTTATAAATTTACAGGTAATCTAATATCCCATGAAAGGATTTTTACCAATCTGCAGAATAGTTCCCTAAAATCTTTGGGGTTTTAGGGGGTGACATATTCAAAATAGTACTAAATGATAAACCATAATTAAAATAGACATTTCAAAATAAATGATAAATCGTAATTGTAATTACATATAACGATTTTAATTACAAATTATCACCATCTAAAACTCGAACAAAAATCCTGTACACTGAGTGTTTACAGAGGTGCTTGTGAAAGGTTTATGTGAAAGCATAGTGGGAACGACCACAGGTCTTGGTTTATAAATATGCATACCTATTGATAAGTAAAAATATCAATAGGTATACATATTTATAAACCAAGAGTACCTGTGGGAATGACAACTCTGGACAGAGATTGCTCTTAAAGCTTGAAACATGAAAAAAATTGTGGCCATTATTGATTTATAATTTTATATAGTTATAGTTTAAATTTGATTAGACAACATAACATTTAAGACTCAATAATAAAATATACATGTTAAGTAAAGAATATTTTACCTTTGGATCTACTCTTTTTTCAAGACATGTTATACTTGTTATCGAGATGGCTCCTGAGCTTTTGAGCAGATTTTTATCTTAACCTATATTTTAAAAATTCTGCATAATGTTTTAATTCTTGCAATAAAATTGGATTCTACAATGCCAATTACACTATATTCAGTTAAAACTCCATGATTAAATTCCATACTAAAAGCATTATGTGAGGAACTATATTTTGTGGCGGAAGGTTTTTTTTTTAGAAGAAAATGATCATTTTTTCTCTTTCGAAGTATTTAAAGTACGTTTAGTTTGGATTCCAATTTTTACATGCAGTCTGCACACAGAGTTATTTTGTGTAGTGAACTGTTTTATACTGGTCCTAAATTATATATTAAATAAACTGTCATGAATTCTATCATCATATTTGATAAATATAGCAAATATATTGTGAAAATCAAGAAAAAAATATCCCTATTTTAAGCTTAAAATTAGCACTATTTTAGTAATATCTAAAAATTAACATCACAGACCCCCACTTTTTATTTTCTTTTCTGAATATACAAGATACTTTTAAGCATTCTTCTTAAATTCAGTAAAATGTCATTACTTTCAAATGATTTTTTTGCTTGTTAAAGTTCTAATGCCAGAAAAATGAAATTTTTTGAGTGCAAAAAGGTCAAATAATTGAACATGCAGAGTAATTTGAAAAAAATTTTCATTGTCAAAAATTTTAATGTGTCTATTCAAGATGAAATAGGACTGTGTTTGTTCCCTTAATTTATTTGAATAAAAAATATTGAAGGAAAAACTTTAAAAATTGATTTATGTGTAAGACATATTTACAGTGCAAAAAGAACAAACTAAATGCTCTGTAGCACCAAAAGAAGCACATTGACCCCCAATTTTTGTTTTGATTTTTAATTAAGCTATGGGTATAAATTCTAAAAATATACTTGATTAAAAATTCTCATTACTTTTGATGGCAGGATCCAACCTCCTTAAGGTCACAGCATCTCCCTATCTAACAACAGTAAGTTTAATATTTCACTTTTCTGAGCATCAAATTGATATTGTTAAAGCATGTCTGTAGTGCCACTGCTGTTGGAGAGTAGGATTTTGATTAGATTTGGCTCCGGGGCCATAAAACTTAGATGATCTCACTTTTGATCTCAGTCTCACTTTTTCCTTATACATTCCTTTAGTAAAAGTGAGATTGAGATCAAAAGTGAGCTTATCTAAGTTTTATGGCCCCGGAGCTTGATGCTAGGATTTTTTTCCCCAATTTGTTTGCACTGAAGATAGGTAATACTGAACAAAGAAAGGTAACTCAGTATTTTTACAGTAACCAAAGAGGTCCGTTTGGCTGAGACGTATCTCCCAGAATGTCCTCAAGATTTACATGGTAATACAGGGGGAATCATGCTGGAAACAACATCTTAATCTTAACTGCAATCCCCATCATTCTTTTTAATGAAATTATGGTCCGCATTTTTTTTGTTTATTTCAAAAACAAAAAATGCAGTGAAGATCAGGAACAGTGACCATGCTCAAAAGTCCATGTAAACAGATGGGATCAGGTGCCATGAGGAGTAAGCATCCCGAGTCGGTCACACTTCTTGTCAAAATCGGGTAAACGGAAATAAGTGAAAGACGTCGATCAGTAAACATTTGACGTATAAACAGGGGGTCGGTTTCAGGATGCTATATTTTGTGTATTGGGTGTTTTATGTAAGAACATATTGTATTTCTAAACAAGGTCATTGTATCGACCATAACATTTGCGAAATGTGGACTTTAAACGAAACTGTTGATGTCCTTGTATCATGAACTTATTTTTCAATAGCATGCCTTTTAGAAAATATGCTCTTGCGTATCAAATCAATTGGGAGACATTAACTCCATGTGGAGGTGATAATGGTATATTGCTACATAAATAAGGGAAGTTGACGATAGAAAAGTTGAAATCATCAAGTCTATCATAAAGTTTAGTTGTTAGTTTGCCATCATTGTCTTTCTCTAGTATAATATCAAAAAAAAGGAAGCAGATGTATCAGACTCTGTGGTGCCTTTTATTTCGAATTCAATGGGATATATATCGAATCAGCGTAGGAATGAAAATGAATGTTGTTAATTGATCAAACGTCATCGACATATCTAATGAAGATGATGAATGTTTTCAGATGACCAATGACAAGGTATGCTTTACGAGTTCCGTTTATTACTGTCTTCCTTGGCCCTGAGTGTCGAGTAAAAGTCTAAATTTGAAGCTCTTCACCTGTCTATGGTGACGTCTCTATATGAGTGAAAAATCTCGAATGGGACGTAAAACAACATACAATCAATCAATCAATCAATCAATCGTTTATATGGTAGGGCTAATGTCTGTAAAAATCTATGTCGAAAATGTACTGTTAAAGGTCGTTGCTAAAGACGGCAAAGCTTTTTTAAAAAGCCATACTTGTATTGAAGAAGCAGTTGTCGATGATGTTCTTCAATTTATATATTTATTTCTATATATTAAAAATACTGTATACAGGGTTATTTTCGCCCTTTTACACTTGCAAACAATAATATTTTGCGGCTTTTTGCCCCGTTTTAAATTCGCCAAGCCACAATTCTGTTTAAGAAATTCTACAGTGTTCTTTGAATTCGCCCCGTTTTAAATTCGCCCATTGAGAGTAGGGCGAAAGGGGCGAAAATGAAATGGGGGCGAAAATTTCCCTGTATAAAGTATAATGCTTTTGAAATTCACAAAATCTTAGCCTCATATCCTCAGTGTTGGTGAAAATGACAAACTTGGCCCGTAATTTTGCTAAGTTTAAATAAACTAATGATATCTGTAATTGAGATGGATGTACAAATGACTGAAATAAAATTATGTATATTCCCCTCTTTTACTTATTATTACCCTAAAGGTGGTGCTTGATTTGAAAAAAAAATCGCTTGCTAACTTCATGATGATATGGTTTTGCATATTCTTTGATGGTATTATATTAAGTAAAGTATGATTAATGTATGTCAGAAAAAACTTGCTCAAGGCTGAAGGAAATTCTCATTAATATAGACATTTATATATATTTAGAGATCATGCATGACCCGACTCAAATATATTACCTAGTTATTTATAAAACCACAAAATCACACAAAACAACGCCCAATCAAATTCAAATGAAAATGTCTCGTGGGGTTGGGTACATGTAAATGCATCATTCCCCGATAAAACTAATTCACTAACCAATTACACTGGTATATGTCAAACATTCTCTCTAGTACTAGTCTGAAATAGTGAAAATACCCCCATCCCCTCAACTGAACCCAATGTGATTGACACGTATCCTTCTAGTATGGAAAGCCATAGGGGGCACCCAAGTCATGCTTTATATGTTCCATTATTTTTTTGTCATGACCATTCCAGGATTGATAATCATGTCACAGTCAGGATTGATAATCATGACCCAGTCAGGAATGATAATCATGACCCAGTCTGGATTGATAATCATGTCACAGTCAGGATTGATAATCATGTCACAGACAGGATTGATAATCATGACACAGTCAGGATTGATAATCATGACCCAGTCAGGATTGATAATCATGGCCCAGTCAGGATTGATAATCATGACCCAGTCAGGATTGATAATAAATGGGCCAGTCAGGATTGACAATTATGACCCAGTCAGGATTGATAATCACGACCCAGTCTGGATTGATAATCATGGCCCAGTCAGGATTGATAAGAAATGTACCAGTCAGGATTGACAATCATGGCCAAGTCAGGATTGATAATCATGATCCAACCGGGATTGACTATCATGGCCCAGTGAAGTTTACAATAAATGGCCAATTGACAATCACGAGGCAATCATGATTGACAATAAATACCCCATTCAGGATTCAGGATTCATGGCCCAGTCGGGATTGACAATTCTGACCCAGTCAGAATTGATAACCATGTGTCAGTCAGGATTAATAATTATGGCCCAGTCAGGATTAATAATCATGGCCCAGTCAGGATTAATAATTATGGCCCAGTTAGGATTGACAATCATGTCTCAATCTGGATTAATAATCATGGCCCAATCAGAATTGACAACCATGGCCACTCAGGATTGATAATCATGGCACAGTCAGAATTGATAATCATGGCCAAGATACGAAAAGTATGCGATCGTTCACAAGTTAATTATAGAATCTCAA